ACTTTTTTCAGTCAACACTGTATTACATTGCATATACCTAGTGGATTCTGACTACCTCATGTATGTCTACTGTATTTTATCCCATTCCCTGAGACAAACATTTTCATTACCTTCAGTTCCCTGCTATCACAAAGTTCTGGTACACGTCTTAATAAAAACCAAGCAGAAACCAAAGAGTTTCTTTTGGGGGTATGTATCCAGTAGTTGGGTTTTTTGATCAGAGCGCATATAGATACATTATTTCACTAAGTACTGGCAGATTGCTTTCTGAATTGACTATATCATTTTACATTTTCCAGGTAGTCATCTGTTTCTTCATCTCACCCATGCTTTATATTTTCCATTCTTAGTTGTTTTACTTTGCAGTTCATTAATGATTAGTGAAGTTGAGTATCTCTTTATGTATTTATTAGGTATTCCTTAGTACTTTTCTATAAATTTTTCATTTCTACTGCCCTGTTTTCTGTTTTATTTCCTTTCTTTTTGCTTTATAAGAGTTCCTTATATATTTTAGATATTAATCTATTGTTGGTTTTAGACATTGAAAATCTCTTGGTCTATTAATTTTTTTATAGTCCCTATGGTGAAGACAACTAAGTCAACAAATATATTCTTCCCTTCTATAGTAACAATTTAGGATGGGCACATGACTGCTCAGTTAGACATAACATTTTCTACTTTATCATTAGTTAATTGAGGCCATATGACTAATTTTGCCAGTCTGTATGTGAAAGGTATTATGTGAAATATGTGAAAGATACTTCTAATTCAATACCTTAAAAGAAAAAAGACCTTTAGTTGTGGCAAAAACATTGCTGTATAACACCACATGGGTTTCAGGTATGCAACATTATAATTCAGTATCCATATATACTACATCATGCTCACTACCAAGAGTCTAGTTTCATTGCATCACCATACAGTGTATCGCCTTTTCCTGTTTTGACCTCCCTGCTGGTCAAATGAACTTTCTTCTGAGTTCATTTGTTATTGTTGTTTTCATTTGTTTTTATTTTATATTCCACATGAGTGAAATTATATAGGATTTGTCTTTTCTAGCTGACGTATTGCACTTAGCATAATATCCTCATGGTCCATCCATGTTGTCACAAATGGCAGGATTTCACCTACTTTTATGGCCGAGTAGTATTTCACTGTGTGTATATACGTATGTATAATCTACTTTATCTATTCATTCATCAGTGGACACTTAGTTTGTTTTCATGTCTTGGCTATTGTAAATCACGCTGCAGTGAACATAGGTATACATATATCTTTTCAAATTAGTATTTTGTATTCTTTGGGTGAATGCCCAGAAGTGGAATAACTGAATCATATGTTAGTTCTAGTCTTAATTTTTTGAGGAATCTCCATACTGTTTTCCATAGTGGCTGTACTTACATTCACTGACAGTGTACGAGGCTTTCCTTTTCTCCACATCCTCTCCAAGATTTTTTTATCTTGCTATTTCTTGTAATTTTGATGGTAGCCATTCTAACAGATGTAAAATGATAACTCATTTTGATTTGCATTTCCCTAATAATTAGTGATTTTTGGATACCTTTTCATGTGCCTTTTGGGCATCTGTATGTCTTTTGGGGAAAATGTCTATTTAGATTTTCTGCCCATTTTTAATTAGGTTGTGCATGTGTGTGTGTGTGGTTAAGATGTATGAGTTCTTTATATGTTTTGGGCATTAACCCCTTATTAGATGTATGATTTGCAAATATCTTTTTTTTAATATTTTATTTATTTTTAGGCAGAGGGCAAGGGAGGGAGAAAAAGAGGGAGAGAAACATAAGTGTTTGGTTGCCTCTCACGTACCCCCTACTGGGAACCTGGCCTGCTACCCAGGAATGTGCCCTGATTGGGAATTGAACCAGCAACCCTTTTGTTTACAGGCTGGTGCTCAATCCACTGAGCCACGCCAGCCAGGGCTAAATGCCTTTTTTCATTTGGTAGGTTGCCTTTTCATTTTGTTGACAGTTCCCTTTGCTGTGCAGAAGCTTTGTAGTTGGATGTAGACCCATTTGTTTATTTTTGGTTGTGTTGCCCCCTGCCATTGAAATCTGAACCACAAAAACATGATTAAGACCAATGTCAAGGAGCTTGCTGCCTATGTTTACTTCTATATATTTTATGGTTTCAGGTTTTATGTTCAAGTCTTTAATCCATTTTGAGTTAATTTTTATGTATGGTTAAGATAGTGGTATAGTTTCATTCTTTTTTAGTTTCCTTCTTTTGCATATGGCTGTCCAGTTTTCTCAACACCGTTTCTTTTATTTTTTAAAATATTTTATTTAATTATTTATTTATTTTTAGGGGAAGGGAGGGAAAGAAACAGCAATGTGTAATTGCTCTCACGCAGCCCCCACTGGGGACCCAGCTCAAAACCCAGGTATGTGCCCCACACCAGGAATTGAACCAGCAACTCTTCGGTTTACAGACCAGTATTCAATCCCCTGAGCCACACCAGCCAGGGCTCAACACCATTTATTGAGGAGACTTTTCTTTCTCTGTTCTACATTCTTGGCTTCTTTGTGGTAAGTTAGTGGTCCGTATATGTGTGGTTTTATTTCTGGGCTCTGATTCTGTCCTATTGATTCTTGCGTGTTTTTCTGCTGATACCATACTGATTTTGGTTATGATAGCTTTGTAGCATAGTTTGAAATCAGGGAGTGTGATACCTTTTTATTCTTTATCTCAGCATTGCTTTGTCTGCTTGGGGTGTTTGTAGTTAAATAAAAATTTTAGGATTTTTTTTGTATTTTGGAGGGAAATGCTGTTGGGATTTTTATAGGTACTGCACTGAAACTATAGGTTGCTTTAGGTAATATGGGCATTTAACAATGTTTATTTTTCTAGTACATGAACACAGAATACCTTTCCATTTCTTCGTGTCTTCAGTTTCTTTCACCAATGTCTTACACATTTCAATATACAGGACTTTCACCTCTATGGTTAAAATTATTCCTAGGTATTTTATTATTTTTGTTGCATTTGTAAATGAGACTTTTAATTTCTCTTTCTGATTTTTGTTGTTAAAATACAGAAATGCAGCAGATTTTTGTCTATTTATTTTGTATTCTGCAACTTGTATTTGTTTATAATTTCTAATAGTTTTTTGGTGGAGTCATTCGGGGTTTTTATTTATAATATCATGTCATCTGCAAATAGTGATAGCTTTACCTCTTTCTTTGCAATTTAGATTCCTTTAATTTCTTTCCTTGCCTGATTGCTTTAGCTAGGACTTCTAATATTGTTTTGAAAAATAGTGGTGAGAGTGGGCATCCTTGTGTTGTTCCTGACTATAGAGGAAAAGCTGTCAAGTGTTTACCTTTCAGTTGATACTAGCTGTAGGTTTGTCATATTTTGCTTTTATTATGTTGAGATGCTTTCTTCTTAAGTCCATTTTTTTGAGATGTTTGATCTTAAATGGATATTGTATTATGTGAACTGCTTTTTCTGCATCTGTTGAGATGATCATATGATTTTTATCCTTCATTTTGTTAATATGGTGTCATATTGATTGATTTCTGGATGTTGAACCATCCTTTCATTCCTGGAATAAATCCTACTTGATCATGGTCTGTGATCCTTTTAATGTGTTGTATTCAATTTGATAATATTTTGTTGAGAATTTTTGCATCTACGTTCAATAGAGATATTGGCCTGTGGTTTTCTTTTGTGTGCACATTGTCTTTGATTTTAGTACCAGGGTAATGTTGGCATTTTAAATCTAATTAGAAAGTATTGATTTCTCTTCAATTTTGGGGAAGAACTTGAAAAGGATAGGCATTAAATCTTTGAATATTTGGTAGAGTTCACCAGTGAATTCTGGTCCTGGACTTTTGTTTTTGAGGAGATTTTTGATTACTGTTTCAATCTCCTTACTAGTGATTAGTCTATACAGATTTTATGTTTCTTCATGATTTTCAGTCTTAAAGAAGGGTATATGATTCTAAGAATTTATCCATTTTCTTTAGAGAGCTATAGCCCTAGGGCTGAGGCTTCGATTTCTCATTAAAAATGAATTTATTAGTACCTTAATTTTTTTAAAGATAATTCACACACCATAACATTCACCCTGTTAAAGCAAACCTGTCAGTGTTGGTTAGTATGTTTACAAAGACTTATACTCTAAGGAAACATTTTTACTTAAGTATGCTAATTACATTTATTTTCTTAGCTATAAGTCTTTTGTCCATGTGGTTACTATTTCCTATTATATTCCTCTTGCCTTCTCTTAAATTCTTTTTGATTCAGATCTAATGTCATCTTTAGGGAAGCCTTCCTTGATTGCTCATACATTTTGTTTCCCTGTGCTCCCACAGCTCTTTTTTTATCCTTTTATTATATCACTTATATTCATATCATAATTATCTCTTTAGTTATTTCTCTTCTCTCTCAGACTATTTATCTTTCAAGAACAAAGACTGTTCTTGCTTTTCCGATATCTTCAGGAGCTAGAGCAATGGGAGATATGGTAGGTGTTTCAGCACATATTTATCGAATGATTATCACTTCAGGTAGTTTTGGCTGCTCATAAGCCTTAATCATATACTAAGAGCTTGATATACTAAATTTAATGGTGAATATTAAAATAATGTGCTTTTTGTTGCTGGAAATGATACATTTTAGTGTTGGAAGGGACTTACTCACCCCCGGCTAAAACACACACACTCAGACATACATTCATATGAGTACACAAAGCAGTTGAAATCCATGGAAATTGAATGACTTAGTGGTATAATTGGGACTGAAGAACACATGTTACCTCATTTTTGTCCTGTATTCTTTTTTTTTTTTCTTTCATCTTATAGCCTAATCTGATGAGTTACAATGAAAATTCTTTTGTTTCCAGACGTTTAGGGAAAAGACCTCTATCATGTTCATTAATAATACTATCTTTCTATTTCAACAATAAGTAAGAAACCAGTTGCCAGCCAGAATTTTGGAAAACAAGTATTAAACAGTGACAGTATTTTTCTGTGTTACAGACCTCCGTGAGTGAAAGCCTTCAGAGGGAAGCGGCTAAAAAGCAAGCAATGAAACAGGTAAGGTAGAAAAGTAGGTTAAATGCACTTGGTGAAGGAAGTATTTCAGCTCATATTTTTATGTATCAGTTTTCATGTCTAACTGCTGAGACAAAACAAAAAAGGTGTACATAGAGAAATTATCTTGACCCTGGTTTTTGAAAATGTGTTAAGATATTTTTTGATTATATAGATTTCTTTGTTATAAATTTTAAAGGAAAAAATAGAATGAAGAATTAGCTGTTTATTTCTGTTGTAGATTAAATCCACTTATGCTTTCTGATGATTTAGTAGTCTGACAGTGGATTATACGGTTTAATAATTCCTGCTAGTGAGCTTACTTGCTAAAAAAAAAATTTTCTTCATAACCAGAGTGATTTCACAATTTTAATTATTTGAAAATCACCTACCAAGAAAGGGTAATGTCAGATCATTTTTAATAGACTTGCTAGCACCATTATTTTTATATAATGCTGTATATATTTTGAAGCATTTTTAAAATACATACAATATTTTATAAATTCTCACAAGTCTCTTTGTAGTCGTGATTACGAAATCTGAAATTTCAAAGGATAAATTATCCCTCATAATCACACAGCTATTTCCAGAGGTAAGCCTGAGTGCTTACTGATTTTTCTCCTGTTACACCAGTATCTTAGATTTAGCTGCTGCAGAACATAATGTAATTAAACTGAAAGGTTTTCTTAGGCTCCGCCAAGGAATAAGTGCTAATCAGCCACAAAATTAGGCAGTATAGAGCTTTATTGGGGTTTGCACGCTTGGGTGACGTTTCTCAGTCCGCGCGGTGGGGGCCGAGAAAAGCCGCCAACAAACGGGGAATACGGCGGGCTTTTATTTTGGTCGGCCCTCTTCATGGGGGTTGGGGATTGGTACCCTCCAAACAAAGCGGCAACATATCATTGGTGGTTCTCCTCGCACCCTGGTTTGACATCAGCCGTCTCTTCTGGGTTGTAGTTCAGCCGCAATTTTGTCCTACCCTGCCCATCCTGACATAAACAATGGCAAAGTACCTTTATTTTCCATTTTAATTGTTTCACTTCACATTTTCTTTAATTTTCAGTACCTGTTTTTCCCTTTTCTGAGAAGAATGTGGTATAAGAATAAACTTGTTAAGCACTTCTTATATGTCAGACATTATAGCACAAACTACTTTCTAAGAATTATCTTTAATTCTGACAATAATTCTATAACATAGATGCTTTTATAATCTCCATTTTGTAGTTAAGGAAAGGAGGCAAAAAAGATTTATGTGACTTTCATGAGGTCTCATGTTTAGTAAATGGTCGAGGTGTGTTCCAATATAGGCAGTGAAATTGCAGGGCCTAAACTTTTAGCCACTGTGTTTTACTGCCTTTTTGGGGAATGGGCACAGAATTGTGTATTTAGTTATTATTTTCAGATTATATCTTAGTTTCATGGGTATAAAAACATGATTTAAAAAACACAATCCTGCCCTGGCTGGCGTAGCTCAGTGGATTGAGCGCGGGCTGCAAACCAGGCATTGCAGGTTCGATTCCCAGTCAGGGCACATGCCTGGGTTGCAGGCCACAGCCCCCAGCAACTGCACATTCGCACATTGATGTTTCTCTCTCTCTCTCTCTCCCTTCCCTCTCTAAAAATAAATAAATAAAATCTTAAAATTAAAAAAAAAAACACGATCCTTTAACGTAAATTTTTAGTTTGAATCCAAATTTTAGAGCTCGGCAGAATTAGAGAGATACCATCAAGTTTGACTTCTTTACTATATACATGGGGGAATTAGTTCTAGGGCGTCTGGTAACTTCTTGAAGGTTGTGTAGGTATCTTGTTTTTCAGTGTTCTTTTGATATTTTTTGTTCTGCTTTTTCTTACTTAAAGCATAAATCCCAAATCAAAATTTATTCTTAACTCTGGCTTGTTCACTTTTTTTATTTCATGGGACTTTTCCATAGTTTGCTTTGAAATTGGAAATATTGCTACAGTTCTTATACCTCTTACCTGCCTCCTGCTGCCTTGATCTACCACTTTTGCTATATACTTCCCACCTTATTCCCCACTTGTGTATTTCCACTCTTGTCTTCTGCTTTAATCCCAGGCTGTTTACCATGAAGAATACTATTTTGATTGCATTTACTAAATCTAAGAGAATACTCTTAGAAGTGATGTACTTATGTATCTAATAGACCACTTTTTCTTCCTTTATATTCTTTTGTTTGACCCTTAAGTGTACAACTGATGATGACAACATGACCTTATCCCTATTTCATTGGGAAAACTTTTAACATATCATCATTATATATAATATTTGTTATAGGTCTTTGGTAGCTAACTTCTTGTCAAGTTAAGGAATTACTTTCTGATTTTGATTTAAAGTTTTGTTACTGTTTATTTGTTTAATCGTGAATGTACTATATTAAAAAGATAGTATTTCATGACAGTGTTGTATTTCTACCGATAAAGTAAGGTCAGTTTAACTTTAGAAAGTCAGTCATCATAACTTTACATAAATAGTATAAACCCAAAATAGACATAAGGTATTATCCTGTTTATATATTGTTCCATTTGGTTTACTAAAATTTCATTAAGAGTTTTTGTGTGTTGAGGAGTTGTGCATTATGAGATTGGCCTGTAATTTTTCCTGTCTTATCCTATAATTATGTAGACTCTGGATCTTAATGAACTAATAATAAACATGTTTTACAAGTTTGTTTCTACTTCATTAATTTCTGCCTTCACAAATTAGTGTTTTCTTCTTTCTTTGGGTTCATTTGTTATTTTATGTAACTTTTTGAGATGAGTGCATACCTCTCTTTTTTTTCAGCCCTTTTTTTCTAATACATATATTTAAAGTTATACATTTTACTTTAAATTCTTTTTTTTTTTTAAGATTTTATTTATTTTTAGAAAGGGAAGGGAGGGGGAGAGAGAGAGAGAGAGAGAGAGAGAGAGAGAGAGAGAGAAAGAGAGAAAGAGAGAAAGAGAAAGAGAGAGAGAAACATCAGTGTGCGGTTGCTGGGGGTTATGGCCTGCAACCCAGGAATGTACCCTGGCTGGGAATCGAACCTGGGACACTTTGGTTCCCAGCCCGCGCTCAATCCACTGAGCTACGCCAGCCAAGGGCCATTTTACTTTAAATTCTAATGTGGCTGCATCTCACAAATTTTGATAAGTAGTATTTTTGTTATTCAGTTAAAAATATTTTCTGGTTTGCATTATGATTGCTTTTTTGACCCATTTCTAACATGATTTCTTTTTGCTCCAAGATCATTTATTATATTATTTAATATCTTTAAAATGTGATGAGATAAACTTTATGGTCTGATAAAGTTTTTATAAATACTCTTTCTGTGCTTGAAAAATGTTCTGTATGTTTTCATTGGGCCAGTTGTGTTAATCATATATATTTATACTGATTTTTTTTGTCTGTTCTATTAATTACTGAGAGGCACATTATAAAACCCTCTACTAAAAATAATCCTCTACTATTGTTGTGGACTTGTCTGTTTTTCCCTATATTTTTGTTCAGTTTTTTTTGCTTTATATATTTTAGGACTGAGGTTAATAACAAATCTATACAAGTGCTCTCTGACCACTCTCCCAACAGTACAAAAGCATGTTATCAATTTAAAACACTTTAGTGTCCTTGTTCTCTTGTTTGTTTGTTTGTTTGTTTGTTTGTTGGTAGTTATTATTTCTTAAATTCCATGTTTTCCTTTCAGTTCTCTAGGTTGGTTTTAGGGAGGGAATAGCAGTGCTAATTCACCATGTACGTGGGAGGAATCATTGTTCTTCTGAGATTAAAGTAAATGTTGAAAAATAGAAAAATTAAAAATTTTTTAATGTCTTAATATTCCAGAAAAAATATTTTAAGTTAGTGTGCACATGATTCTAGAGTCTAATCATTGCTATGTAAAAACCTGAGAATGCCAGGCCTGTTATTTGAATAATTATAATATTACCCCATTACTTAAAAAGCCGTCTTGTATTCCACACTGCATAGCAATTAAAAAGTGAAAATGTATAATGTGTACCTCAGGAACTTTTAAACTGGGACAAGAGACTAAGATTTGTGAAACAGAAACATCAAGGATATTATTATATTGCAGCTAAATACTGCAGTATAGAATGTGCCATCAGAATTCAAAAGAAAGAGATCCTTGCGGGTGAAAAGTCCTCAGAGATGGCCTCATTTAAGAGATAGGGGTTATGAACAAAATAAACAGATGAACAAAATAAAACCAGAGCCATGGATACATGGAATAGACTAACAGATCTCAGAGGAGAGGGGGGTAAGGGAGACTGGAAGAGATTAGCCAAAAAAACATATGCATGGCATATGAACACAGACAACATTGTGATGAAGCCCAGAGTGGGGACTGGGTGGAGGGGGCAAAAGGAGAAGGGGAGGACGATTATAATGGTGTCAATATTTAAAAATAAATAAATAAATAAAAGAGGTAGGATGCCCTAGCTGGTGTGGTTCAGTGGATTGAGTGCCAGTCTTACGAATCAAAAGGTCACATTTGATTCCCAGTCAGGGCACATGCCTGGGTTGCAGGCCAGGTCTCCATTTGGGGGCATGTGAGAAGCAACCAATTGATACTTCTCTCCCTGTCTTTCTGTCTCCCTTCCCCTCTCTCTAAAAATAAATAAAATCTTAAAAAAGAAAAGAGGTAGGGGTTGAGTTTGTTTCTGCTTTGTTATTATTTTTTTAATTAGATTCCACAAAGTGAAATACGGTATATTTTTCTGTCTGACTTATTTCACTTAAAATAACACCCTATAGGTTCATCCACGTTGTGGCAAATGGAAGGATTTCGTTCTTCTTTTACTGCTAAGTAATTATTCCATATCCTTTTTGCCCGTTCATCTCTTGATGGATGCTTAAGTTGCTTCCATATTTTGGCTATTGTAGATAATGCTTCAGTGAACTAGGGGTGCATATATCATTTCATATTAGTGTTTTGGATTTCTTTGCATAAATACCTACAAATTAATGGTTGCCAGATGAGAAGAGTCATGGGGGGCATTGATGGAAAAGGTGAAAGGGATTAAGAAGTACAAATTTCCAATTATAAAAATAGTCACAAGTATGTAAAGTACAGCATAGAGAATATAGTCAATACTGTATAACTATGTATGATGTCAGATGGGTTCTAGACTGACTGGGATGATCACTTCATAAAGGAAATAATGGCTAATAACTACATTGTATACTTGAAACTAATGTCATTATATATCAGTTGGAATTGAAAAATAATTTTTTAAAAGCAGGAGTTGAAGTTCTAGATAAGATTTTGATGGCCTGAAAGCAAGAGAAAGAACATTTCATAGAGGGAACATGATGAACAAAGGCAAAGGACTTTATATTGCAAAAATATTAATTATAAGAATATCCCCATTTTTCTGTTATGTTGGGAGCTTTTTAAAAAATATTTACCATTTGAAAACTGAACATTTTATTTGGTAAATCCACTTACATAAAAAATGATATGAAAGCTTAATATGTAATATACTATAGGCATCTAAAACTAAGATGTTTCTAAGTTAAACCTTGGATGTTTCGACCTGTGGATGTGGATAATGTTATTTATGGTCAGATAATTAAATAATAATAGTTAATGTTTATTGAACACTTACTCTCTGTGATGCTCCATTCTTAGTGACTTAAGTTTATTGTTATTATCACAACACCTTTGAGGGTGGATACAATTCTCACTTTCTTAGATGAGGAAAACTAAGGCACAAAGTGATTAAACAAACTTACCTAAAGTGGCTAGTAAGTAGAGAGTCAGGATTCAAACTCAGACAGCCAGGCTCAGAATTCATGTTCTTATTTTTTGTGTTAAAATGTGATTAGTGTAATTTTTATAATATATTTCTGATCCTGTCTTAAGAAAATTACTTCAACTTTTTTGTGCTGTTAGCTAGTTCATATCTTGAAATATGTTTTTCTTTTTTAAGACCAAACTGGAAATTCAAAAGGCCCTTGCAGAAGATTCCACTGTATATGAATATGACAGTATTTATGATGAAATGCAGAAAAAAAAGGAAGAAAGTAATCCCAAATTGCTTTTGGGAAAAGACCGAAAGGTTTGTAGCAGAAAATACAAACTTTCTTTGACCTCGACCTGCATTGTGTATCTTAATCTTATTTCAGCATGAAGATGGTTTGGGAAAAAGCTTTCTGGTATTTGAAGTGTGAAGTGCCCTGAGCTCCAGATATAATAGAACCTAGGAAGCCCAGCATTTAGCATTTGAACAGGAACAAGTGAATTATCTAGCAATTTTATAAGTTTTGGTCTTTGCTTTAAAGCCTTTGTAAATAATTTTGTGAAAACTTTTTCTTAGGAAGTTTTTGTTCTGCTCTTGTTCATGTTTATTTGTATTTTGCCATCATCTCATTTTTTTATTGCTTCCTACCTGGTAACTGAATCATCTACACACATCATGATAAGATTTTTAGTTTGAAACAATTAAGGGTAAGGGGAATTAAAATAAGTTCAGATTTTCCACCACTCTTATTCTTTCACAAGCACACACTGATTTTTAAAGATCTTTGCATTTTACAGTATCTACAAATAAAATGATGGTGTAAAATTATATTAAAGCTATTGTTTTAAACTCATTTCAACTAATGTGAAAAATGAGTAGGAACCTTTTTGATTCAGTTATCTGTTACGGAAGTGTTAAGATAATACCATTATAAATGGTGAGAAAAACAGTGGGAAAATTACTTAGATTGATATTTTAAAAAATAATGATAAAACATTTTGAATATCTTATATTTCTGTAGGAAAGAATTTTAGGTTCAGTTTGGCTAATAAATTTATATTGGTGTTTGAGATGATGACAAACATACCTATTTGTACTAGACATTTCTATCTTAATTCATGGTAAAAAATAGAGTATTAACAATTATTATCTTCGGCTCGATCTTAAATAAACTTATTTTCCCCCAGCCCAAGTATATTCACAACTTACTAAAAGCAGTTGAGATCAGAAAAAAGGAACAAGAAAAAAGAATGGAAAAGAAAATACAGAGAGAACGAGAAATGGAAAAGGGAGAGTTTGATGATAAAGAAGCATTTGTGACATCTGCTTATAAGAAAAAACTGCAAGAGAGAGCTGAAGAGGAGGAAAGAGAAAAGAGGGCTGCTGCCCTTGAAGGTGAAATGGAAGAGGGAGAGGGTAGAAGGAAACAAGCAGCAAAATTCTGCCCTGTGGTTAGCCATTTGCTGGCACTGAACTTTTAGATTATAACGTGGTCATAATTTGTGTATAGGAATTGAAGGTACAAGATAGGGTATTATGTTGTATTATAAAACAGAGGGGATATTTTTGCTAAAAATAGTTGCACTCTTAGTAACTAGTACTTCTATTGGACTTTTCAGTTAGACCTTGTTTGGTTGCTTAAAACTGTGGTCGTTACAAGTCATTGCCTGGAAAATGATTCCAATGTAAAAACATTGATTATAAGGCATAGTATGTCAGAGCAGTATAAACTGAGATTTAAATCCTACTTATATTTTCTGGGATGAGAAAACTAGAGTAACATCACTCAAGGAGCATCAGCTGGGCATTTAGAAAACGAATAACAGTAATTCAAGAAAAAATAAAAAGGTGCAGAGGCCAAACAAAATTGTAGTGCTTTACTTCAGTGCTTTCTACTCACGGTCATTTCTCAAGATTTAAGTAAAATATGTACTTATAAACAGCATAACTGGCAAGGGCTCATCAACTTTAAGTGGAAGAAAACCAAATCTATAAGACTTGGTCTATGCCTATACTATGTGTTCATCTACAGTACTGGTCAGCAGGCTTTCTGGAAAGGAGCAGATAATGAACATTTTAGGCTTTGTGTACCATGTGATCTCTCAACTCTGCCTTTGTAACACAAAAGCACCCCTAGACAATAGATAAACAAATGAACAGGGCTACCTTTCAATAAAATTTATTTACAAAGCCAGGCAGCAGCTAAAATTGGCCTTCAGGCTATTGTTTGCCAACTCTTGATCTAAAGGATAGTTTACACTAGCCCTGACTGGTGTGGCCCAGTGGATTGAGTGCTGTCCTGGAAGCTAAAGGGTCACTGGTTTGATTCCCAGTCTAGGTTACATGCCTGGGTTGCTGGCCAGGTCCCCAGTTGGGGGCACTTGAGAGGTAACCACACTTCGATGTTTTCCCTCCCTTCTCCTCTCTCTGAACATAAATAAATAAAATCTTAAAAAGAAAAGAATAGTTTACACACAATTTATGTTATATACTCTACATCTGTAAAATGAACTGCATTTTTGCCTTTTGAATAAATTCTCTTTTGCTTTCCCTCTCTTAGCACGTTTGGATGTAACCAAGCAGAAAGACCTCAGTGGATTTTATAGGCATCTATTAAATCAAGCAGTTGGTGAAGAGGAAGTACCTACATGTAGCTTTCGTGAAGCTAGGTAAGATGTGGCATACAGAATATTTAGAAAAAAGGTATTTATGATCTGTGGGTGTAGATCATTTTAACTCTTTGAAAGAGGATCTCAGCATTGCATATTGTTTTGTCAGCCAAACTTGACCTAATTAAAGGAATGCCCAGGAATTTAGTTTCTTAATTTAAAAACCTGAAGATTTAGTTTAAGATTGTCTTTATTCTTCAGTAATTCTACATGCATATTTAGGTAGTATATAAAAAGAGATGTGTTTTGTTTTATAACTAGGACCTAGCCTCCATAAAATGTAAAATTTACATATCAAAAGCTAGAGATGCGTCATTGAATATGTAGCCACTATTCACTTGTGGCCGTTTAGTAATAAATTTAAAATTTTGATCACAACAGCCACATTTCAAGTACTCAGTTTCTACATTTGGCTAGTGGCTACCATATTAGCACAGATATGGACATTACCATTTATGTAGACATTTCTATTAGTACTGGTGTAGAAAGTAAGGATTAGAGGATTTTAAATAAAATTATAAGATATTAAATAGGAATGGTGAAATGATTATGCCATAAGTATATAGCTGAAGGTAAAAGGAAAAATTAATCCTAAACTTGTATTTAAGTAAACTCTTTGGAAGCAGAAGCATCTAGATAAGAGGATCTGAGTCCTGTGTTTGTGGGGGAAGGGAAGAGGCAGGAGAATGGAATTAAGGATTAAAAAAGGGAATTAGGTTTAGTCCTGGCTGGTGTGGCTCAGTGGATTGAACATGGGCCTGGGAACTGAAAGGTCACTTGTTCATTTCATGGTCAGAGCACATGCCTGGGTTTCCGGCCAGGTCTCCAGTTGGGGTGTGCAAGAGGCAACCAGTCGATGTTTCTCCCACACATTGATGTTTCTCTTCCTTTCTCCCTTCTTCCCCTCTCTCTAAAGAAATAAAAGAGAGGGGATTAGGGTTATACTTCCCCAACTCCAACTGCTAGGTATTGACTTTAAAAATCATGAAATTTACGAGTCTAAGAAGGAATATTTGAAGATTGAGATTTTGAACAGAAAATTAATGTTTCTGTTAGAGTTTCATCTGGAGTATTTGTGAGGCCAGCCATGAAACTCTACGTCACTTAATAGTGGCACTTCTCAGAATCTAAAGAATTCCTAATTATTAGTGATTTATTTAGCCAAGACAGTTGTACCAGCAATTTCTATAGAACGATAGTTGTTGCTCTATTAGTGTGATTAGTAAGTGATTAAGAATGAGTGTGTGAGTACTATAAGTAAATTAACCACATGTATCAGCTGGGAAAATGTAGATGATGTAAACAGTTTTAGTGTTGCTGATTGTAATAGTTGGATGGATTCACATATTTCCATTTTTCTGTGATAGGTGCAAAGGAGTATATCCAGATGTTGATGCCTTTTTAATCATAATAGGGTTTATTTAGTGAAATATAGAATTAGATTTTTGCCACCATTTCACTGTGAAAAAAATTTATCTTCATCTATTAACAGGACTCTTCTTAATTTTATAGAAAGAAAAATAAAAATCCAATAAAGAGCCACTACTTAAACTTCACGTTGTGAAGATGCTACTAAGGTCCAGAATGTATTTTTCTTTTGCCTGTGCTTAGAAATATGCCTATTCTTCATCTATGCTTAGCACAGACCCCTGCCTGAAGGTTCTCGTGATCCAATACAGAAGGGCTCATTTTCTTTACTACTACAAATATTGAAAATATTCTGAATGATTAGAAAATGCTGGCTTACACATGTTTACAAAGTAAATAGACATCAGCACCTTTTTACATCTTGATAATCAGGAAGCTTATATAATTATAATTTTATTGATTTAAATATTGAGGAAATTATATGAACACTTTATATGCTTACCATAAGTGATAATGTGGCATTTATCATTATATTATTATTTTAAAGGTCTGGGATAAAGGAAGAGAAGGCAAGGGATTATTCCGATGAAGTAAGTTCAGAGAACAGAATACCATACGAGAAATGCATTCTCCAAACTGTTGTGAAAGTAGAAGAAAACCCAGATGCAGATAGTGACTTTGATGCTAATGACAGTGAGGATGATGAAATGGAAGGAAGTAATAAAGTGAAGTGCAGAAGGGAAAAGAGCATAGAGACCTCTGAGAATGACTCCAGGCATCACAAGAATCACACTCACTCACGGTCATCTAGTGAAGAAAGAGAACATGGTACCAAAAGCCACACAAAAAGTTACAAGTCAAGGGGACATGAGAAAAGGGAAGATAAGCACCAAGAAAGACAATCCAGGGACCAGGAGAACTACTATACTGACCGTGATTACCGAAAAGAAAAGAAAGATTCCCATAGGCACAGAGAGGCCAGTCATAGAGATTCCCATTGGAAGAGACATGAACAAGAAGATAAACTGAGGGGAAGAGACCAAAGAGAAAGAAATGACAGAGAATGGAAAAGGGAGAAAGACAGAGAGAAATATCCCATAAGAGAACAAGAAAGAGATAGGCAACAAAATGATCATGACCGACACAGTGAGAAAGGAGGAGAGAAGGAAGAGAAAAGCAAAGAAAAGGAAGAACATATGAAAGCAAGGAAAGAAAGATATGAAAACAGAGATAGAGAAAAACGAGAAGTAAGTGTTCAATCTTCAGAAAGAAAACAAGACAGAAAGGAAAGCAGCCCGAAATCTAGGGCAAAGGATAGGTTTCCTGACCAGGAAAGATCCAATAAAATGAAAAACATGGAAACGGACAAAGAAACAAACTCAGAGAAACTCTCTAGTTGTGAAACATCGATGGGAGCAAAACACAGAGTCACAGAGGAATGCCAAGATACTGGCAAAGAACAAGAGAGACTACAGGAGACACTGAGCAAGTTTGCAAAACGGAGCAATGAAGAAACTGTAATGTCAGCTAGAGACAGGTACTTGGCCAGGCACATGGCACGGGTTAATGCAAAGACATATATTGAGAAAGAAGAAGATTGACTTCCTGGAACATGCTATGTGGACACATAAAGAGGTGTGTTAGACGTGGTAAACTATATTTTCAAGATTCATTTTTAGTTTAGGGTTAAGTCAAAAGTCACTCCTTTTATCTCAAATGTTTGACTAAACATACATAATACTTGTCAGTATCACATTCTTGGTTGTATTCAAGCAACCTAAAGAGTCCTGAATCCTACCTAGTAGGTACTTTATGAGGAAAATTGGCTCCACAATAACCATTAAAAAATAATTTAAATAACTTTCCTAATGGTGGTTTTGTTGCAGGACCTATTTGTTTTATAAATACTGTGTTTCAGATAAACGTAAGTGGATTTGAACATAGAGAATATTGTTATACTTTGTTTTGAAATTTGTATTAAAGTATGAAATATGGATAGATACATATCTTGTCTAACTTTAGCTCAGGCATACTTGGCTTAGATGAAAATAAAAACAGTGATATGTTTGTACTTTTAGTTCATGCTCTTATTTTAAAACTAATGTCATTTATACCATAATTCCTTTTTTTTTCCATTAAAAATCACTTTAATTCTGAGACCCTCACAAGTTAGTAAATTGGTTGTGTACATAAATCAGTTTTAGCTAAGTGTGAAAACATGGAGATGTTTAGCCTAAATGAAGTTAGCTAAAGATCCAGGTGGCCTATTTATGAACATGTCTTGTTTTATATATTCTAAAAAATATAATACAGCTTACTACAACTTCCATTTATGTATCAAACTAAAATTGTAATCTCTGCACTAAGTCTTTGAAAGCATTGAAATGAAATGCTATATATAATTGATTTATGGGAAATGGATGAATGGTATGGAGAAAATAGTTCTCTAACAGGTCTTCCCATTAAGAAAGTGCTATTTATCTCATACTTACTTTGAGTTAACCATGTTTTATTTTCAGTATAAACTTAGTTTAATAAGAATATTGACTTTTAGGAAAAAATTATATTAAGGATCAAATTTAGCACTTACAAATAAATGTATAATAGTATACCTTTAGAGCTAAGTAACAAAGCTAATGCTTGTATCTCTTGACTGACACATTAATATGAGATCCTAATACTTTAAAATAGATCAGTGACAGTGACAAACACTTAAAAAGCACCGATTCAGCATCCACAGAGATAAGTAGTATAGTATAATGTAACTGTGAAACGGTGAGATCATGGAAGACCATGAGTTAGCAAGCTAAATTTGGTTCCATTGTTAGAATTATAACTAGAGCCATATGTTGGAAAGATTGATTTAACCATAAATGCAAGAGAGAGTCTAGTAGGGAGAGACCATGATCTAAGGGATCTGGTAAGAACAGTCAATTATCCTCTCCCAGTGTGGTTCAGAGACTTACAAAGCTGCAGCCTGGATATTTGGCTAGGATAAACTATATAAAGTTGACCTTTGAACCACACAGGTTTGAATTGTGTGGGTCCAATTACATATAGATTTTTTTCAATAAATACTATAAACCTGTTTTTTCTGTATGGTTTTTTTTTTTAAGGTTTTGTATTTAGAAAGAGGGAAAAGGAGGAAGACAGGAAGAGAAACATCAATGTGCAAGAGACATTATCAGTGAGTTGCCTCTCGCATGCCTTCAACTAGGGACCTGGCCCACAACCCATGCATGTGCCCTGACTGGGAATCAAACTGTCAACCTTTCAGTTCACAGGACAGTGCTCAATCCCCTGAGCCACATACAAAATAGATGTTAATTGACCATTTGTGTTATTGGTAAGGCTTCCGGTCAGTCAACATTAGGCTACTAGTAGTTAAATTTTGGGGGAATCAGTTATACACAGGTTTTTGACTATACGGGAGATTAGTTCTCCTAACTCCCTCACCCCTGTGTTCAACAGTTAACTTTTATTAAGTTTGACATAGGGAGAAATTGCAAATTAAGGGTTTCTTCTGGCTGCTTCCCCAGATAAACAAATGTTTTTGCCTCTCTTGCACTTGTCCAACCTTTTTCTGGGCACAGTACCTTGATTTCCCTTGGGAAAGTACCCCTTCACTACTCATAGTCTAGTGATTCAGATGGAGCTGCATAGGCTCCAGGAAAAGTATGACTCAAGCTAGGCCAGTTCTGAGATTTGTCAGAGTTGAAAAGACGTTTTCCATTAGCATTGCCAATAGTGAAGATGAGGTAAGTCTAGAATTGCATGGGAGAATGAGTGTCCAACTTCTCCACAGAATAAAGCCCACACAAAAGAAAGCAGAAATGAGAGAAAGATAAAGACCTAATGATTGCTTTTGAATCTCTGGTTCTAATGGGGCATATATATTTTTTAGATACTTTAACTAATACTTTCCTCTTTTCTCTTGGGCCAGTTTGAGTTGGAATTCTGCCACTATGGCTAAAAAGCTCTGTTTGATACACCAAGGTTCCACATACAAGTCTGTGCCAAATTACAGAACATTTTTGTAAAGGTTTTATCTATTTTTAGAGAGAGGGGAAAGGAGGGAGAGAAACATGGGTTGGTAACCTCTCACACATCCTTAACTGGGGATGTGGCCTGCAATCCAGGCGTGTGCCCTGACCAGGAATAAAACCAGTGACCTTTGGTTTAGCAGGCCAGCGCTCAGTCCACTGAGCTACACCAGCCAGGGCCAGAACATTCTTAATCTTTTAAAAATAGTAGTGTAACATGCATAAATAAAGTGCATGTACCATGAATATATAGTTTACACACAAACTCCCCTCAAACCCCTTAGTTTCCCCCGCCCCCACTGTTGACAACACCATAGACTTTATTTATTTTCTAGATTGCTTAGTATTCATCTACTATTGGTGGACATGAAGTTTTTCTCCTGTTTAGGGTTAATCTTGTACTTTCCTGGTATGTGCAAATGTATGTTTTGATTGGGTGACTCCTAAGAATGGATTGCTAATTCAGAGGGTATGCATTGGCTTTAGTAGACACTGTCAGTTTACAGAATTGTACCCAAGTATACTCAATGTATGAGAATTCCAGTTGCTTCATATTCTTGCTTATACCTGTTATTTACCTTTTGTCATCTTGTCTTTTAACTTTAGCCATTCTGGTGGGTGGAGTGATACAGTTTTATTTGTAGTTCCCTTAATGGCTATCATATTTAATAGCATTTGTATAAAGGTCCTTTTAAAGAGTCTGTTTCTTTTGCCTTTGCTAATTCTTTATATATTTGGATAGAGATCATTTATCTTTGCACTGTCTTAATGGTATCTTTTTTTTTTAAACACTAAGTCTGTAACAACTTGTCTCAGAAGAGAGAATGCTGGAATAGGTTGGACTTTGTTGCTATAGCAAGCTCAAATTGTGTCAGACAGTTTTGGTCTTCTGCCAGAGTGTTGCTTGCAATTAATGGTATCTTTTCATGAACAGAAATCTTTAATTTTGATAAAGTTAAACTTAAAAGTTAAGTAAAATTTACCATTTTCTCAATACACTAGACACATTTGAAGTGCTCAACAGCCACGTAGCTGGCAGCTACTCTAAAGGAAAATGCAGATAAGAATATTTTTATCATTGCAGAAAGTTCTGGACAAGACTCTAGAAGCATTATTGTCTCTTTTTTACTTTTAAATCTGCCATGCAGCTTGGAATGAATTATTGTGTGTGATATAATAAAGATTTTTTTCCATATGGATAGTAAATAGAAATGAATGAAAATTTGTTCAAATTAAATCCACAATGAGTACTGTTATACATCCACCAGGAATAGCAAAAATGTTTAGAGACTTAACAATACCAAGTGTTGATGAGATGGTGGAGCAATTCTAAGCTGTATGTGCTGCCAGTGGCAGATGAACTAATACAGCAGGTCTTTGACTAATGTTTCATTCTGTCGTTTTGCTATACCATTGATGAGGGAAAAAATTGATTTCTGGTCATTGCCACTCTGTGGTTTGCAGTTCTCTCCAAGTCTGTGTGGGTTTTCTCTCAGTACTCCAGTTTCCTCCCACATCCCAAAGATGTGCACGTTAGGTGAGTTGGCATGTCTGAATGAGTGTGGGTGCATATAAGTGTGTACCCATCACTGAAACAGCATCCTATCCAGAGTTGGTTCTCCACTTCTGCCTTGAGCTGCTGGGATAGGCTTCAGTTACCCAAGACCCTGAACTGGAATAAGCAGGATTTTTTGTTTGTTTTTCGAGAGGGGGGGCAGGGGAAGGGAGGGAAAGAGGGACATCCATTGGCTGCTTCTCACCAGCCACGACCAGGGACTCGCAACCTGCAACACAGGCATGTGCCCCTTAACTGGGAATTGAACCCATAAACTCAGTTTACAGAGGACAATACTCCAACCAACTGAGCCACACCCAGCTGAGGCATAGTTTTCATGATAGAGAAATAATTGTAGATGCAAATGTGTAGGTAACAAACACCCACACACTTTAATTCTGTCCAGTGAGGGGATTTGGTATCAGTGACACCCCAATAGCAATGAGCATATCTAGCACCTACACCTTTGGTTTCTAAATACATTCTTCGCTAAAAGGAATTGGGGCTGTTTGGAGGAGTAGCTGTGGCAGGGAAAGTATGAGATGTTGCCGCAATATCTTACTCCAGAAGGTAAGGAAATTTTCCGAGAATTACAGGGACATATCAAAAGGACACAAACGCCAGATTTAAAGGATTAAAAGCCACTGGCTAAGTATTGGACAATGTGAGCATTGAAGTTAATAATGTTAAAAAAATGAGCAGGATATTTGAATAGCCTCAGAGTAGTCCCTCCTTTCAAAATACTAATTAATTACACAAACACACAAACCATATAGGGAAAGCCTGGTGGAAACTACCTTAAGTGATTCCAGTTCGCAGCAGCAGTACAAGGACAAGTCAAACCATGTTCCACCTGATAGAATGCAGTGCAAATGCCTCATTCCCGTGATATTTCTGCCCAGAATACACAGCTTGAATCTAATCATGAGGAATCAATCATCAAATCAAATTGGGGGGCATTCAACAAAATAACTGGCCTGTAATCTGAAGTGTCAAGTTCATGAAAGTCAAGAAAAGACTGGGAAACTTCTCCAGACTCAAGGAAACAAGACATGAAACTAAATGAAAAGTATGATTCTGGAATAGATTCTTTTGCTAGAAGGACATTGAATGGGGTGAGATTAGATGGTAGTAATGTATCAAATTGTTCTCCTGATTTTTATTATTATATTGTGGTTACGTAGGAGAAGTGTATGTCCTTGTCTGTTGAGAACATATCCCTCGTGATTTTCTTTTTTGAATTTAGGATCTGTATATTTAGGCTTTTATAGATGATAAATTTAAAGATAGACATGCAATAACCTTTGGCCAGCAAGCAGAAAACCTAGACCTGTTTTGGAACTTTGCAGCTGTGTGAACCTGGTCAAATCAGTTAACACCTCTGAGCCTCAGGCTCCTCATCTGCAAATTGGGGAAATAACACCTGTCGCCCAGAGCTCTGGGAGTCAAATGAAATTATATACATGAAAGCACATTATAAGTTAAAGCTCTGCACAAATTGCAAAAATTGTAATTATTTAGTATTACTGAAATTTAGTATCTCTAATTCTAGGTAGTTTTGATGCTAAATATTTGCAAATGACTTGCAGTGCTATTTTGGGGGATCCTAAATATTTCGACAACATGCAGTTAAAATTAAGATTTTTATGTTAACCGTAAGCATTCAGAAGTTTGTTTTTAAATGAGACTGAACAAATCTATGTATCATGATGTTAAGAAGTATAACAATAGTTCACAATACAAGGCATTTACTGAAGTCTCAAAATCTAAACAGGAGCACTTATGACTAAGTTGCTGCATAAATGAATATAGGGGCATTCTATGCATTAAAAAAGGGACTCTTTACTTTTATACAAATAAAATATGTTTAATTCTGCTACATTTTAAAACTGTTTCATGTAAAAATAACATTGGTGATTTTCATTCTACCACTATTGACAGAGGGGAATACTGGAAGAAATAACACCGTATTTTGCTGTGTATAATGCACACTTTTTTTTGCCCAAATTTTTGAGGGAAAATAAGAGTGAGCATTATACATGGGTAGTACTAATTCCATAACTATACAAATGTTTTTAATTCTTTTATTTATGCTTATGTGTTAAAACTATGACTCTAGAAAGCAATAGTGATATCCACATGCAAAATAGTACTCTAGAATACAATAAATTGGTTGTGTTTCTAAAAATAAATTAAAAATTGAATTAAAAATTAAAAGATTTTTCCCCTGAAAGTTTGGGTCAAAAACGTGGGTGTGCATTATACATGGCAAAATACATTACTTATTTTTAGCTGTAAGTATTGTGAAAAAAGAAAGTAAAATAAGGGAAAAGAAATACCATGTCAGTTGACCATAATCTAGAATTTGAAGCATTTCATTGTCCAACACACAAAGTATAATGAAAAGTTGTTTGTAGATCAAATTATATTTTAAATGCTATTGGAGAAATAACTGCAAATTCTTTTTTAAAGTCCCCAATTTTATCTTTTAAAATATGTATTTTTCATGTCAAGTTTTCTTAAGGTATACCTCTAATACTAGAGTTTGAATAAAAATAATCTTTCAAAATAACTTTTTGTAAAGTTAGCAAATGCTCTATGGAAATTTCGATGTTAACTCCTTTTCCTCAAAAAGTTGCATTGGTGGTGGGGCAGCGGTTGATGTAGATTTTGTGATGTGTTGGTAAGATAAATACCACCTGAAATTCCAATTGAAATATGTTGTGAGTCATTTCCCAAAAAAGACTCTCCTCTTGAAAGGTTAGTTGTTTTGAAACATCTAATGTAGGCATAATACTGAATAGATTGTAACTATATGGAACAAAAGGACAGACATATTTACAATTTTGTCCTAAAATATTTATCTTATTCAATGTGGGAAATGCCTACTAAACCAACTGAATGGAGTGTTATATTTTATTCTAGTAGAGGAAATAAAACTTAAGTTCACCTTTCTTTAGAAATTTCCAGATCCTAAGAAGAGCAGACAAATTTGCTTGGTCACCAGGTGTGTTTCTGCCTCTAATGTAGTTATCTCAACATTCAAATATTGTTCTCTCATTAAAATTTAGAGACAGTTAAGCAATGAGGGAAAAGGGTGATATTACAAAAATATGAAAAAAAATTAGAACTTTAAAATAGTCCTTCCATGGAACTAAACCACAAACAACAAATTTTAATAAATATCATTGACCTATCTCTGATATTGAAGGAAAAATTCAGGCTATTTCAAGTAGACCAGAAAAGCATTCTACAGCATAGGGATATTCCTGGTCTTAATATTCATTTTTCACGGTATTTGGGTTTATAAATTTCATTTTCTAACATGCTTCTCAAGCAAGTATTATCTAAACTCACCTTTCTGATTTAGAGCCTCTTTTGTAACTCTCCTTGCATTTTAAATGTATGACCTCCATGATGACTTTATTTTTTTTTTAAAGATTTTATTTATTTTTAGAGAGGGAAGGGAGGGAGATAGATAGAAACATCAATGTGCAGTTGCTGGGGGTCATGGCCTGCAACCCAGGCATGTGCCCTGACTGGGAATCGAACCTGTGACACTGGTTCGCAGCCCGCGCTCAATCCACCGAGCTATGCCAGCCAGGGCTCCATGATGACTTTACACAACTTCCCACCAAGCATGTGACTGTTTTGCTTTTATTACATCACTGATGGGGATGACAGGTTGTAGCATAGTTTCTGTGAGGAACCTATTGCTCCTCCTCTCCACTGGCCCCTGACAGAAGAAAGGAAAGGGAGATGGTGAAAATGCCCTCTGATTACTGCTGTGTTTAATGGTATCTTAAGCACCAGCTGTTGACTTATGAGTGAAGAGACATGCTGAGAAAGGAACCAGGCGTGGCTGGTGCCATTGGGTAACTAAGCATTGTCTAAGATGTCTCAGAATAGCACGGTTAAGGCATTGCATTACATAGTTTTAACCTTTGCTTTGGAAGTGAACTCCAAAGCAGTTATAGAACAGGTAGAAAAATCAGGTCAGACTTTCCTACTTATCAGAAAGAATACAATTCTAATTATAGGAGAAGAATCTCCCTTTTAAGGGGTGGGGTGGGCATGTTAGGCAGAAACTCATACACTTAAATTTTGAGATTGGTGACATCAAATTAACCAGCTTAGTAAAAAGATGCTGGAGAGGGAGTGACTCATCTCACAGAATAACTTTTGGCCTTATTTTGAGATTTCATTATTTGATTTGGGAGCTATTCTATTGACTTTGGATATGTCAGGATCTTTGCATCCATCTCTAGATGGGGCAGCTATGGCAATGAATTTAGGTTATGAGTTATATGTATTCCGTGTAACAAGTGGACTGAGTTGTAAATAGGTTATACATTTTCTGGAAGGGAATTTAATTTGCACTTCATTGCACATCAACATAGGAAACAACCTCAATCAAGTGAATCACTCCCATTCCTTTGTCTTGTGTCTTGCCTATTTCTTACTGACAAAAACAGCAGGAAAAAATTAACTTCAGTACTTAGATGACTTTACAACTCAATCCCATTTTTATTTTTACTTTTACGTAAATGCTACATTAGATGTAAAAGTCTTAGAAGATTGTTTTAAAGTCCATCTGCCTACTCTTAAGTCTTTCTTTAAAAAGAAAAAAACCATGTATCCCTGACTGGTGTGGCTCAGTGGGTTGGGTGTGGTCCTGCAAGCCAGAAGGTCGCCAGTTTGATTCTAGGTCAGGGCACATGCCTGGATTGTCGGTCAGGTCCCCAGTTGGGGGCGTATGAGAGGCAAATAATCAATGTTTCTGTTCCACATCGATGTTTCTCTCTCTCTAAAAATAAATAAAATATTTTTAAAAACCCATGTGGTATTGATAAATAGGGGCCAGGTAAATGCAAACTATGGAGAACAGATATTTAGGGGTTTTTTTTAAGTCTAGTGAAGTTGGAAAATTTTTAAAAATGAGTATATAATCCCTTTAATACCTGTATTGGCAAAACTCTAATTCTGGTTTTTGTTTTTCAATTCTGTTTGGAAAGGTGATTTTTAAGAAATATCTTTGGAGAATAAGTGTGTGGGGGATGGTGAGAATCCATACCCAGACCAATTTTTAAAATTTGCAGAGCTATTGACACTGAGTATGCTGCCCCTTATATATCCTTTAAGCATGTTAGAAAGCAAAGAGAATGGAAGTGAGGAAGCAAGAAGGAATAAAAGAGGGAAGATAATGAAAGTAGGTCAGTACAGAATATTTTTCAATCTCCCTCCTCTTTTCCTGTAATATTTTGGAAACTCAGCCACTATCCTCTGTAAGGAGAAAAAAAATCCTTCTGGAAAAAGCAAAGAATCAGAAACAGAAGGATGTCGGGGGAATACAAGAAGGCCAGGGAAGATTGCTAGGGAAAGGAGGCCAAGAAGGGAAGAACTATAAACAAATAAAACCAGACCTCTATTATATGGATCTTCTTTCTATAAGGTTGTTAGAATTGAATTTGATTTCTATATAGGACTGAAGTGATATGGAAATAGATAATTGAGTTGTTTTATCATTGACTAGGCTTTATTCCCCTTAAGATTTTGATAAGAAAATCTTACACAAGGTAAAATTTGCTTCTCTGACCATGCATCTGAGAGCCATAAGCCACTGAAGGTCAAATTTACTTGATTTATATTAAAGGCTATATATGGAACTTGAAAGGTTATTCATTTAACTGACCCTTCTCCCATCAACCTTACTTAGACTCAGTCTTGAAAATTATCTGGAGGGCTCAGTCCTGGCAGTCAACCAGGAAGGGGCTGGGGGTGGGAGAAGTGTTCATTAAAGGCTACCCTAGACTCTCCAATCACTTTCAGATTGAGGATGACCTTGGCTTAGGTCAGGGTTCCCAATCTATGTACCTTATATGTGAGAATTGGATTCATCCTTTCTTCACAAAGCAACCTCCACTGTCAAACTCAAGCCATTTGAAGCCTACAGAGCTTAAATCCGATAGCCAACTGAACACTGAAGATGCATTTGTCAATATCCGTCTTCAAAGTAATTCATGGTCCAGCCACAATGACTAATGAAATAAACCAGATCTGCCTGTGGAACACTATACTAAATGTTTAGCAGAGAGATACTGGAAGATGAGAATCAAGTTCAGTAAATGCTAAAGGCTGACCCACAAGGCAAGGTGTGTGGGCCCAAGTAGTGTCCCTGGAAAAGGAAAAGGTGGCAGAGCACGTTGTAGTAATTATAGTTTTCAAATAATAACATACATACACATTTGAGTAGGTAGAATTGATTAATGTAAGAAAAATTAGGGGAAATTCATATAGTTTGTAACAGTCTCAAACTATTAAAATAAAGATAAGCGTACACTGAAACGGTACACACATATACTCACATGTACACATGTCTCTTACACCTTCCTCTCCTGACTCCACAGCAGCACATGGGTTATAGAGTTCTAGTAGATCCAGCTACAGAATTCTATGCTACTCAGAAAATATATGGCTAGCAAGACAGCATCCCTGTTTTTCCCTACATGGTTTATGCATCCATCAACAATGAAAAATTTAGAAGGAAGCATGTCAGATACCAATGATCATCATGAGAAATGATACAAGAGAGGTTCACAGACTTTATTCTAAACCTAATCCTAACCGATTATATGGTGGTTTTCATCACTTCCATACACATGATCATGCATCCAAACTAGTCCAGTTCAGCTGCATCACAGAGTCTAACATGGTAAAACATCCAGGAGATTTCACAGAAAGACATAGCTGGGGGCCTTAGGAGTCTGGGTACCGTAGTCTTTTGAAACTGTGTCTCTGTGAAGACGGCCTTTCCATTGTCAGGCTTAGCTGGAAACTTGTTGACAGAGGAAGAAGGCGAGGCGTGACTTGTCAGAACTGGAGGAGGAGGTTTGGGGAGCTGTTTTCCTCTTGTTGAAGGTTTTAAATGGCATTCAAGCGGATGTCCCCACAGGGAATTTCTGTTGGTGTTTCTGGAGTGATACTTTTAATAATACGCTGTTGGGAAGAAAATAGGGTGTTACAAACATTCTTATAATTTGACAATATTGAAAAAGTATTTCAACATTAATATTAAAACAGTTTAAATAGTATTAATAGTAAATTGGAATTGTCTCATTGACTTTCCTTAAGAAAGAAATTACCAATTCATTCTCAAGTGTGAATTAAAATTTAATATTCAGCAACCATAAGCATCTGTAAACTAATTGTGCAAGTCATTGTGTCACTAATGGGAGAAAATGAGGACCCTTCCATAGAACCTCTGCTGGCCTATCACTTGACTTTGATGAGCTGGGAAAACTCATCTTTTCCTCTGGAAGAAGGTTTCACGTGGCCAGCAGGGCTTGGGGAGCAGAGTGAGTGCTGGATTCTGGCACCCTCCCCTCAGGCCTGCACACACACTACAGGGACAGTGCATGGTGCCATCAGCCACGGAAGAGCCAGGATGATACTGACTTAATGAATCCACCTGTCAAGGAATACTGGCAAGTTCATATCAGGGTGCAAATCATCACATAATTACATTTAAAAAGATGTGAGTATTGAAATCACTCCTGATCTCATGCTGACGTAGTACTCATCACAGGGAAAAGGCTGAGAATTTTTACATTAGAAACAGCTGAGGCGCACAAATGTATTAAGACAGATGTGAACTATGCTTGGGATTGTGTATGAAATGTACAGTCTGCCTCGTAAAAGCATCAGGGTGACATGAAGCAGCTCTGGGGTGCTGAGAAGGAAGAGCAGCAGTGCTGCAGAGGCTTAGAAAAATCTTTGTTAAGTTGCTTTGTAAGGTCTTTGATGGCAAAGTCTGTCCGTGTGGTAAGCAGGCAAAATTGGATCTCAATGCATCTTTTGATTTACTTATTTTAGGTGAAGCTCTAGTAAGTGCCCTTTTTATTTTGGATTGGAAAAGTACATTAGTCCTTTTTTATTTCCTGGTTCTGGAAGTCCATTCTTCTTTAAGGCACAGGGCCTGTGGAATTCAAAAAGTTCCATTCTCATAGTTAATGAAATTCACAAAATTTTACATGTTGTGTTCCTGATGACCTTAGTATTCAAACACTGCAATCTCACACTGGAAACCCATTTAAAAGGAGTCGATGCAGTCCCCATCAGCTACATGTGTTGACATGTGTAAGTCACAGAAGGCAACATTTCACAAACCACACTTCCCACAGATGAATGTGTAACCTGATCACACAGAATTATGTAAGCTGATTAGAATATGTAATAGAATATGTAAGCTGATTACACCAAATTACATCTTGCTAATTGAGAACTGGACTCAGATCACTCTAAGTAACTAGTCTGAGTGTTGAGAAGGACAAGAGAGCACTAAGGGGTGTGGTGGAGGCAGGGTCCATGATGAACCACATTGTAAAGTAGAACACTTGTTTGGTTTTTGTGCCCTGGTCCCCACCCACCCATTCTGCTGGCCCTCTAGTTGCTGGTTCCTCCTTCGTTTTCGAATTTTGGCTGCATTTCAGTTGCCAGACTATTATTGCTCTTAAAATTTGCCAGCCCTGGCCTCCTGCAAGATGATAATCTAAGAAATGGATCACTGTTGGACCTTTACTTACTAGGGACCTGGATCTTTGTGCAGAGGACCAGGGACTTCTGTGAAGGGACTGAGTTGAGACTTCCAGGCTGCAGGTGAATATGATATCCTCCAAATCACAGGTGACAAGTGGTGGCTCACTCCCCAAACTCCAACCTTGTGTGGCCAGGGCCCAAAGAATTAAGAAACTGACCTTTCTTTTAGTCTTTTTTTAAAATCTTACCAAAATTTCCTGTGAGGCCTCCCTCCCTCATAGCATGTTACAGACCAGCAAGTATGGTATTCCTGAAGAATTACAGTCCCTTGATGTTCTTGACAGAAAACGGCATGTTTTAACCCTCTTGGAGATTAAGCACGCACACGAGCGTGTTAAGGCTTTTGAGAAGTGTCACAGTAAAGAAACATATTTAACTTGCTTAATCCACCATTCTCCAAAACTTTTTGACTGCATAAACTTTTCCCCCAGCAGCACTGCCTGTTGCTATTCCATGGAGCTACTGCCCTTCACACTACGTTAACATTTGGGAAATGTTAACCCAGTTCAATGAGCGCATCTTAAAGATGAAGACATTACAGCCCAGGAAGGTGAGCAATTGCCATAGCTGACTAGGTCCTTTCCCTCCTCGTCCTCCTTGGTTGGCTGTATCGTGATGGCCCCACAGTCAGCCTTTCCACGGTTACTAATGGATCTGAGCTCTGTTAATGACGCACCTCTGTGTGGTATTTCCTCAGGCCCAGCAGGCGGAATTTGCAAGAAAAATGACCAAGATTTGAGGTGTAGTCTGTGACCAAAGAATACTGACATTTATTAATCTGAGTTCCTACCCCTGACTTTGGCCTCTGGATTGGCGACGGTAGAGCCAGTGGACCATCCTGGCTGCCATACAGGACAACCTGAAGAAACAAGTTCAATGACTCTAGGTCGGAGCATGTGTTCCGGGCAACACCAGAGTTCAAGGCCCTTTGGGATGAATGAGGTGGTGACAGGACGGGCTTGGGTGTGGGAAATTAGTAACTCCTTGTAGATTCTGTTCACCTAGAATTCAGTTTTCCTGTCTGGAAAAAGAAATGAACTCAGTTCTCAGGAAGAGCTGATGCTCAATTGTCTCACATTTTCTTGCTGCAGTCTCTTACAAAATGTAGGAAAATGAGTGTGTTGGTCTCATGTTTGAGTTTTGCTTCTAAGAGTCCACAGACCAGCGCATCTCAGTCCTCAGGTTCTTAGAGAGTGCGGTCCCTTCTAGCTTTCCCAAAATGCCACTCTTCCCTTTTGAACAAGTCCGCTACAGAAGTGCCCACTCACATACTTTTAAGTGAACGAACTACTAATTCTAGCAACATAGCATAAAAAATGGCAACTCGCCCTGGCCAGGTGGCTCAGTTGGTTGTAGTGTCGTCCCGTATACCAAAAGATCATGGGCTCGATCCCCAGTCAGGGCGCACACAGGAGGCAACCCATCAATGTTGTTTCTCTCTCACACCATTGTGTCTGTCTGTCTCTCTCTTTCTAAAATTAATAAATACGTCCTCGGGTGTGGATTTTTAAAAATGGCAACTCATCTCTCCCTAACTTCTAACACCAATTGCTACACTGATAAACTACTAATGGAAACTGAGAACAAAAGGGAAACAGCACCTAAAGCGAAAGGGCACTGGCCCAGGAATCAGCAGACTTGGATTCGAAGCCTTCCTGTGCTGTGTGTCCTCGGACCAGTCACTGAAATAAGGGCACTTTGAGCGGCATTATTCCTGTCCTCAGTATCTTTGTCTGCAGTAATACCTGCCCATCCACTCACGAGGCATTTTGATAGCAAAATGGGATCATGTCCATGAAGATGCTTTGAAAAATATACAATTTTACACAAAGTGTAAGTTTCTGTTATTAAAATTTTTACAGCCCATTATTCATTGCTGAAATGAGTCTTGCTATAATGGCACCTTGAGTTTTTACTCCAATGGCTTGAGCTAAAACTATATTATTGCAACATCCCATTTCATGATGATTTTCAAAACAGCCCTTGTTACATTGCTGTTAGAAAAATGACCATAAACATTTTCCACCATAACCTCCACTTTGATCAAAATTTGTGCAGCACCCCAGGCACCACCGAGTTGATGAGTTAGTTATCCGGTAAGTTTGGGATGCTACGCACACCCCACACTCCCAGATGACCAGCTCGCTCCTTCGCCGCTGTCTTTGAGGGTTATGGGAAATGCCTTAAGACAACAGTGGTAGCCTGTAGAGGCCTCCATGGTGTATGTTCTAGAAATATACAAGGTGAGTTTCATGTGGTGGACTTTTATCTCCTGTGAAAAGAACATAACAAGAGACCCCTTTTCTCCCCAATGAGCAGTCTGAAGACGCAAGCACACACACACACACACACACACACACACACACACACACACTAGCACATACTTCCTTCAGTGTCCCCGGAGTGACGATCAGCCGGTATGTGATGTAGGTGGGGATGCAAATGAAAGACGAGGTCCCTATGCAGTAACCCAGGATGACACTCCAGTGAGGATAAGTATACTGGAAAAGTCGCAGCTGTGGCGGGCTCATCAAAAAACTGCAAATGATGAACTAAAACAGAAATTCCAAGAAACATCAGAAATATTAAAGATATCTGAGCAGCTCGAGACAGTTCTGATACCATGAACACCTGGTAAAGCTAAGATACTTCTGGGAAATTCCCAAAATGTGACATATCTTAAATTGAACTCTGGCACACAAAGTTCACTGATTTCTGTGTCTAATTATCTGCAAAAAAATAAAACAGCCAGATGCTTATCTTGATTTTTCCTCCCTACCTCCCACCTCAACCTCTGCAGTGGGGATGCAAAGACCTCAGAATGCTATTTAAAGAAGTCACAGCACCCCCTTTAGGGCAAAGGGGGAGGGATTGGGACCCATCAGAAGTGGTTTGGGCCCCTCTTATCAGAGCTGGGAGGAATGAGAGGGCGGGGGGGACCCTCACCTCGCCCCCGCCAGGCCCTAAGGCTTCCTATTTCTCTCTGCTATGCTTTCATTGTCCTCCTGCATTCCTGAGCTGTGATTGTTTTTTGTCAGAGGGAAGGTACCTAAGACCAGGAGAGATAATAATGTTCTCAAGACCTGAGGGAGACTTGGGCTCCTGGGCTGGTGTTCCTTCTGTCCCCTTCCCTGGGCCCTCTGCTCTCTCCATTAAGCACCTTGGCCTAGGGTTTCAACGAGGATGGCTGTGCCACGAGGCGGCTCAGCCAGGAATGACCGCCTGCCACAGGCCCTCGTAATGAAAGGAATAAAGGAAGGGAAAAGCAGCTGACTACATTTTTTACTTGAATATTCAGTGAAAATTTTGACCAAGAAAAATTCCACGGTGTGCTCCCAACACTCAGTTTATGAGCTTTCTTCTTTCAGTTTGGTTTCCAGAGAGAGCGTAAATATCGGGTTTTGCCTAGTAACCACTGTGCCGTAACAGTTATTGCTCTTGATTTAATTTTATTTTATTTCATGGTCATGAAGAAGACAGTAATGTAAATTATTTGTGTGGTTAAACATCTATTTATATCCTTTTTTTTTTCTTTGTCCGCAGGTAATAAAATGGGATACTGTTAAACACACATCCATCTTCTGAGCAGTGTTATCCTAAGTCCCAGGGGCAGCTTTCAAAACAGAGGCCCGGCCAACCACAGGCCTTCCTCTGGACTTACTCTCCTCACTCCCACACTCAACTACCAAGGAAGACAGTTTGGGAACAGGGGAAAGGGGAGTCTGGTTAGGAGCCATCCCTGCATCTCATCCTGATGCTGGCGTGAAACCTGACACAATTCAGGGAGGCCCCAGGCTCTCACCAAGGCCGGTAAAGGTTGCATCAGACACCCCTTTGCGTGCCCTGGCCTCTCCTTGCTCATATACAGTATTTTCTTTTTTTGTAACTTGGCTTCAGTGAAAAAGAATATTTTTAGTAGGCTACTCACTGTTTACCTAAAGCAGCCGTAAAAAGCCCAGAGCAGGGCATCTGTTCAGTAAACCCAGAAGTGGGAGACCGACTTACCCCTCCACAGCGTGCCCCGGAGCACTTGCCTTTAGGGGAAGTGAGTGAAGCGAACATCACAAGAATTCTGAGTAACGTGCCTGCACCCGGACCTGTGCCTGGGTTTCGCTGGGCACCAAACCTCACTGACCGCGCAGCAGGAGTTCACCCAGTCTGCTCGGCAAGCAGCAGTTCACAGAAATGAAAATAGTAAAGGCCTGGGACTGGGGTGAGACGTGTGAGGCACTCGGCCCAGGCCCAGCGCTTCCCAGGGGGTGGGGGCAACACTTCAGTAATCGAGATAAATAATATTTGAGTGCAATGTGGTAAAAAGACCCGGGCTGGGTAAGGCGGGTGAGGTACAGGGTCGGATCCTGTCCCTATTTAAAATGTTGATATTGCATTCATCAGGAATATTTTCTGCATTAATTTGGTTTTTAAGAAATATTGCAATAAAATAGCATTTCTCTTGATTACTGAGATTTTGGGTGCCCCTTAAATTTGATGCCGTGCTGAGTGCCTTGGTTGCCCCTCCCAAATTTCAGCCTCTGAGTACAGGAGGCAAACACGACTTCTTCCCTCAAGGAACTAATCCAGTGTGTCTCTCCTTCCTTTGAAAAACAAATGAAAGGCTTTAAGTAGATTACCGAGAAGCACTGGTAATAATATGAATTAATAACCCATTTACGTCAGGGCCTCTGCTTCTAATAATGGCAGGCTAGGTGATTCAGACCAACCCACTCATTGAAAACAACTAAAATTTCTGGACTTAAAAATATATATGCTTTTAATTTATCTAAAAGCAACAGGGAGTCGACAAGGTAATAAGGAACTACCGGGCCCAGATTTGTGGGGACGCTGGAGCCCAGCACCCACACCACAGCACCGGGCCCTGAGGCCTCCTGGGCTCAGGTTGGCTGTGGGTTTGGAAACCTCTGCAGTCCTGGGGAACGGAAGCAAGTCCAGGAGGGATTCTGGGGAGGCACGGGTAGCATTGCAAAGGCAAGGTGAGCCTATCACTCATCTGGTAGATTAACGTGTGCTATAAAAAGTACAAAAAATAAAGGGCTGTCCTGAGAAAGTCAAACAGATGACAAAAAGGGCTGCTTTCGAAAGGGGGGGAGGCACGGCTGGGTGCCAGAGGCAGAGACGATCTGAGGCACAGGGACGGCCCAGACGTTCCTACTGGGCTGGGGCTAGACTGGAGGAAGCTAATGGAGTTTCTGGCTCTCGAAGATCAAAAAGGTGCCCCCCCCCCCGCCCCCCGCACAACAATTAAAGCACAGATAAGCGAAAGAACAGGACATCATCCCTGCTGATGTGCCCTGCGTCACTTCGCCCCAGGCTGGCTCTGAGCGCGCTTGGGATGCTGGCAGGGCGCTTCCATCTGTGGGCGAACATGTCCTTCAGGGGGACACCAGGAGGCAACGCAGGGGCACGTGCAGCAACAATGAGACACTGAACACCGCTGGGTGGATGGGCCACCCTTGCAACTGAACTTTCTCACCCAGGTCCTCTGGCAGTAAATAGATTCCACTTTTGATTCAGGTCACACTAGAGGGCCTTTGCATGGGGTGTCTTTAAGAAAATGGACACAGGATTACCACTAGGACCCCGCTCTGAACAGCACAGTAAATTCTTCCTGGGTTTTCAAAGGTTCTTGTCATGTGACCTGGGGCCCTTAACAACTCTAAGCCTCAATTTCCTTAAATGTAAAATGGTATATTAGAACTATACTACTCCATAGAACTTTGTGAGGATTTAGTTTTACACTGAGTCTGGCCTGGCACTTAATGTTCAATAAATGTTATTTATCGTTATCACTGAATAGGAGAGTAAGCAATAAGGTGACTCAAGCCCAGATGTTATGGTGTCGGAAGTCAGAAGAGTGGTTAACCGTGGTGGGGACAGTGACTGAGGGGGACACAGAGGGGCTTCTGTCGAGTTTTTGTTTCTTGGTTTCGTTTTGGGTACAAAACTGTGCTCTACTTATAAAATTCCATGGATTTGCACTCTTTCTGTGTGTATGTTATACTTCAATAAAATTTATCTTTTATAGTGTTTGAGTGGATCTTTCTCCAGGGCCGGAAGGAGAAGGGAATGGCAACTCACCAGGAGAAACAGAGGGCTGACGGCTACCCAGCAGATCCTCCAAAACCAGCCAGGGCTGAAGCCCAGCATTTCCTTCACGTCGCTGCAGAACTGAGTGATGCCTAGAATTATCCGGAAGAGAAAGACTGATGGACTGCGAGGAAACAGGGATTGTCCGATCCCTGGGTTCTCAGAGAAAGGTGGGCTCTGAAAGTTCTCACGGCGGGGGCTAGGGGCGCCAATCTGCTCTGACGGTGGGACGGGGAACTTGTCATAGAACTGCATTTCATGGCAAGCAGTGTTCTTTCCACATGGAGTGGGCGGGTAGGTGGACATTTGGGGAGGGACCTGAAGCTCCCTCTTGGTGCCCCCACTGCCTTGCTAAGATCTCAACATATATTTTATTTTATTGGTACTGCAGAAAAAAAAGTTAAATTTTGTTTAGAAATGATAGACCTGTTTGACAGAGACTGACTTTGACCATATAACCATGTATGGAAAACTTCCCAAGAGAAAATTTTAACCACAGTATGGCCCAATCAGTTGCCAGTTCACGGTCAAGGTTCTTCTATAAAAGTAACTGGCATAGAAGGGAGAAGCAGGACTCTGGTGAGAAGCTGAGAAGGAGCAGGGAGGTTGCCCCGCACTCGCTCCCCCGAGAGCGTCCAGCAACACCTGGGGCAGGCCTCTAGTGATTCACACACTTGAACTTTGTCATCTGAATTGCTGAGGAGCTGGGAAGGACTTCATTTTAAAAAACTGGACTCATGTGACACTCAAAATATGGGGACCCCTTCTTCATATTATGCATAACGACAAACATGCTAACACTTTTATTATCACAGAAACTAGGGGAAAAAAAACACTTTTCAGTATGAAGTAATCACTTCTTGATTTTAAAGATGAAGAGAGCCGTCTCTGAACCTGACTGTCTTCACTTCAATTGCCTGTGTCCTCCCCACCCCCACCCCCACCCAGGGGCTCCTGGGACTCCTGCCCATGACCCCAGTTAGCTCACTCTCTGCGCTCCTGGTGGTTTTATCCCTATCAGACTCCATTCCAGGGGTGGAGCGGGCTTTTCGGGGGCAGACAATCCAAACAGGAACATTCTTCTTGCCTCTTCCCTAGAACACAGCTCCTAAACTCTGTCTCAGGGCTCTGGAGGGAGCTCTTGCTCGCGAAAAGTAAATTGAGGTCCACTCTGCAGACGCAGTCACTGCGCGGCGGTTCTTCGTGTTCCGTCCAGTTCTTAGAGCCAGCCAGGGTCTTAAGCCTCCACCACGGAGGAGATAAAGGGAACTGCTTCGGCCTGTCTCCACTGGGAAAACATTTAAACTCGAAAGGAAAACACATCCTTCCAAGACACAGAGCAATCTGCCGTGGAGAGTGCGGAGGAGACGATGACCGGTTTCTGAAGAAGGCACTCAGCTGAGCTACCCTTACAGACCCGCCGGGAGGTGACACGCCCTGCCCTTTCCTGAAGTTGGCCCTTCTCTTTCCTGGTGGCTTCGGGCTGATGTCTGTGGAAAGGACCGAGGCGGGTGGGAGGAGGTGTCTTACCATAGAACCAGCACACGGCGACTGCCTCTATCAGCACGACCGTGAGCACAGCGGGCCCCGTGGCGTATTCCTCCAGCAGCTTCACCACGTAGGCCCCTCCCTGCAAATGAGATCACCCTGGAGAAGGGCCCTTGGGCACATTGTCTCCTCTCTAAGGCAGGGGCCGAAAGAAGCTTCTTAACTAAGGATAATTCTGAAAAATTCCCACCTTGGGCCCCATAGAAGTATCTGAGAGCCTGCCTCTTAGACTGACCTTCTCAGGACCGGCCAGATCCCACCCCTTCCAAGGCCTCTCTCTTCCTCAAGGGGCACTCTCCTCTTCTTGCTTCCTCTCCCCACTAAGTTGTTTGTTTGTTTGTTTGTTTTTAATTCTCACCCAAGGACATGCTTATTTATTTTAGAGATAGCAAGACATATCAGTTGGGTACCTCCTGTACACACCCTGACTGGGAATCAAACCCACAACTTTTGGTGTATGGGATGACGCTCCAACCAACTGAGCCACACAGCTAGGGCTCCCCACCAAGTTTTAAGAGACAAACTCAAATGGGCCTTGATCTATGTTCAACTTTACTCAATTTACCAAAAACCTACTGCGTACTCACTCTACCTTGGAGAATCCCAGTCCCTAAAGACTGAATCTAGAAGAGTACACAATACCAGACCCACCGAGCGCACTGATCAGCTGGTCTTCTATCCTAACCCCCAAATCCCTGGGGTCCTGCTCAGGGGCCCAGCACCCTACTGAAGCTCCACAGACACTGGGATCATGGCTCGAAGAGGCATATCTGCAAAATCTGCCTTGAGTCAGGACACAAGCCCAGGTTCCTGTGGGTACCATCTGATGCAATGTTGTCAAGAATGCAGCCCTGAGGACTGGAATTAAACTGGAAAAGCAGCCTTTAGTTTTTCTCCAGATATTCTGTCAAGCCTGAAATCAAGTTGGATCTACTGTAAAATGCAAAGAGCCTTCAGGTGCCTTACAGAAAGTCTACAGACAAATGCCACCAGAAACAACTTTTTATCCTCGATGACAAACTTTTTATAGGCCTTCCCGTTGGCCCCAAAGCCAGAGCACCATGTGGGATGGAAGGAAAGGAACGGCTTCTTGTATGTTCTGTTGCCCCTGGGGAGGCTGACTCAAAGCTGAGGGTCGTGGTACTCACAAAAGTCAGGGTGACCAGGGACCCGAAGAAGCAGGTAACGACCACACAGAGCACAAGCAACTCCCGGCGCTTGGCCCAGATGTGTGGAAACTCATCCAGCACAGCTGTGATCACCCCCTCCAAGCCTGCAAACTGAGAGGGACACACAAATGGTCACAGGGAAGGCTTTAGGACAAACCTGTTACCTTCTGGGACAGTGAACAGGAGAGGGGCTAAGATTGCCAAGTGACCAGTAGAGCTGATCGAGACCTGTTCCCCCTACTCGCCAACCCTCACTGGAAATACCTTTTCCTGTTTACACTGTCATTTAGAACCAACCCCTAAGAACACGAAGGAAAGAAAACAGAGCACACGGACGGGGCTTTTTCAGGTGACGTCTCTTGGGAAGACTTTGGTTGCACCAGAAAGACCAACTCAAAGCTGAGACTCCTTCCACACTAAGTGCAAGGTGCTGAGGTGAATGCTGGGTGGCAGGGCACTGAGACACGAGAGTGGCCTTGCCTTGCATGGCCTTGAGGTGCTGCCGTCTGCTCAAGGGACAGTGCACAGTAAGAACAGTGGCCATACACAGGGCCCCTGGCCTGTGCCTGTGTATCTATACACAAACAGTCATCACCCCATGAATCATTAACGGCTCTCTCAGGTGCCAGAGGCTGGTATGTGCAGTCCACGAGGAGTGAACAAGGGGCTGGGCAAGCACCAGTGGGGAGCAGCCAACACCACCTGGGGTAGCCAGGATCGGAGGGCAAGGGCACAACTTCCTCTTTCTCCTCCCCTTCTCCTCTCCCTCCTCTCCCTCCTCTTCATCCTCCTCCCAGAGGCAGATTTCCCTCCCCGTTCACTCACCGTGCTATCCAAGCCCAGAGTGATCAACATCAAGAAGAAGATGATGGCAAAGAACGTGGACGCCGGCATGTTGGCTATGGCTTCTGCGTATGTGATGAAGAGGAGGCTGGGGCCTGAGACAGAGGGGAGAGAGAAGGAGCCCACAGTGTATTCAAGGCCCCGAGCACCATGGCCTAAACACCTGGAAAGGGTTGAAATCTCCAAGGCAATACATTTCTCTAAAATTTTTGAAAATTTTTAAAGAAACATTTAGAAATTATTCCAATGTTAGATATTGGAAGCATCCAAAGAGCAGCAAAGCAACTCAGTGGGCGCAAGGGACTTAAACAGAACCTGGGCTCACCTGCATCTTTGGCCACCTCGGACACATCTTCCTTCCTCATCTCAGCCATATAGCCAAGCACCGTGAAAATGACAAAACCTGAAACGAAGCTCGTCATGCAGTTCACCACGCTGGTCACCAGGGCGTCTCTGGAGCAGAAAATCCAAGGGGTCAGAGTCATTTGCAAGTCAGGGGTCTAAGGAGCATCCGTCTCCAGCTGAGGCAGCGGGGAGCAGGCTGAGCTCACAGGGACTCCAAGCTAGTCCTGGCGTCCCTTCTCCTCCCCCCTGCGCCTGGCCTCTCAGATGGGTTGCATCAGCCTTGAGACACATGAGCTGGCATCTTCATGGCACAGGAGGGGTGGTGTTAAGTATGGGCCTGTTGCAAGCCAGCACAGCACATGCCTCTCACCAGCTTGCTCTGCAGCGGGGCCTGGGCTGGAGTGGGGGCCAGCAGTGGGCCTTGGCCTCACGCTGGTGAAGTCTTCAGATTTAGACTTTTGACATTTTGTGCAAATGAGGTTACAACACCGCCACAGGGATATCCTGACACTTTTAACAGAAGACCTCGCCACAGGACTTCTGGCTGGTGTCCCCACGCAAAGCCACATTGCTTAGGGCCACATTGCATGTGAATTCTTTTTTTAAAAAACAAATTCTGTAACTATCTTACAAACAGCATACTTCCATTGTTGCACATTGCCATCTGTGATAGGACATTAAAACTAGGTCAGCTCTAAAGATGATGAGTGATATCTAAATCACTGTTTTGTCAACAGTTCTGCAATGAGATTTTTGCCACAAAAATTATGGCATTTTGTGTTGGTCAAAATAGTTTAATCATTACACATTTTGTGTACATATGCATAAACAAATTATCACATTATAGTTGTGTTAAATACAAGTCAAGTCTAAACACTTAGTGTCTGTTGCAACTTTTGTAAACCTGCTTTAAATTTTCTTAATTTTTTTCTCTCAATGCTTATCAAAACAAATCCTTGCATATCTTATTTGAAGAATTTCAATTTTTAAAAAATATTTTATTTATTTATTTTTAAAGAGAGGGGAAGGGAAGGAGAAAGAGAGGGAGAGAAACATTGATGTTCGAGAGATACATCAGTTGGTTGCCTCTCACATGCCCCCAACCGGGGATCCGGCCCGAAACCCAGGCATGTGCCCTGACTGGGACTTGAGCCAGTGACCTTTCCGTTCACAAACCAGTGCTCAATCCACTGAGTCACACCAGCCAGGACTAATTTTTTTCTTTAATATACAGAGACTGTCACAAAACAGAAGCAGCCTAGGGCCTCTCTCAACCCCTGAGTGGCCCGGGTGAGGCTCTGGCCACGGGTGAACTGGTCAGGGACCGGTGGCACCCCTGAGGGTGACAATGTCAATGTGGCCTGAGCCCAGCCTTCCTCCAGGCCAACTGACTTACAACCCACTTTTAAACTTTACCTGGGGGTGGGGGGAGGGTGCCCTGATACTCACTGATAACAGTTGTTGTTGAATTTGTTGTAGCTAGCGAAAGCCAGTAGGACCCCAAAGCCAGGACCAAGAGAGAAGAAGATCTGAGCGGCAGCATCCACCCACACCTGGAACACAGCAGGGGCAGGGTGAGGGCCAAGACCAAGACCAAGACCACGCCTCGGGGCGGCTGTGTGCAGACACAAGGAGACAACTCTCGAGGCTCATCCCAGGGACAGCCCCACACCAAGTGCAGCAAATGGGATTTCTCTTCCCATCATGTAGGCATCCACCAGCCCAGTGACCTCAACTGTACTTTTCACGCTGGCATTTCCGATTTAAAGCATTGTCACAAGACTTGCCATTGCACCCAAAGTTTAGTTGCTGCCACTGTCCCATTCGGAGGACTAGCTTCACGTAGTAAAATGACAGATCGGTGCACATCATTTCCCTCGTCGCCTTACCCCGGTCTCCAGCAGTTTCTGCCAGTTGGGTTTCAAGTAGTAGAGAACACCCCTCCAGGCTCCAGGGAGGGTGGCGCCCCTCACCAGCAGGACCAAAAGGATGATGTAAGGAAAGGTGGCAGTCACCCACACCACCTGTGAGCAAGGAAACCCAGGTTGTCACCACGGGGAAGCTGGTGTCCATTATTTTTTAAAACTTCCCAGAAAGAAGATCCACCTTTCTTTTCCCTGCAATTTTAGGGGGCAGGTGGTGTGACCACAGCCTTTAGAACCAGCCAGGGGTCTGACTTACGGCTTACTGATACCAGCTACCTCTAAACCCACTCCCCACCAGTGGAGTGGGGAACGGATCTAGCAGGGAACAACTAGCCGGTGCACATACAGCACTGCACACGGTCCGAGATGGGCTTTCAGTAAATTCCTGCCACTATTATTGATTGTGACATTATCAATGGGTTTTTTAAAAAAGGAAATGTTTTAAAAATCTTGTACTGGTTCTTGGGATTGGCCCATTTCAAGAACTTTCTACCAGATTTGGTGACGAGAGACTGAGTACCACGGAATGAGTCTGGTATAGAAGGAAACACTGTCCCCCTGTCTGTCTACGGCCGTCTGGGCCACTGAGTCTGAGTTTGAGGTGCTCTGGGGCCCCCTGGCAGGCCTGGGTCAGCAGAGTCCTCCTTACCTTGCCAGATGTTTTGACACCTTTCCAGATGCTAAAGTAGATCACAGTGAAGATCAGCATGATGCAGAGGGCAAGCTGCCAGCTGATGCCCCCCAGGTCCTGGAGTCCCTTAGACCGGTGGATCTGCAGCACGTGGCGCCTGGGGTGAAAGAGGAGAGGCCCATGAGATGGTCCGAACGGTACTGCTGGTCACATCTGCAAGAGGGTGCCAAGGGAAAAAGCGCAGCCCGCTCTGCAGGCACGACGTGGTCACTAAGCCTCAGCCAGGGCTGGGACTGGCTCTGCCTGTCCTGAAGGAGAGGCCAGCACCTTCAGCGGACCAACCTGGGAAACGTGCTCAGCCCAGAGGCAGATTTCCAGCGCTCACCTGTCCTGGCTCGGACTTGGCCAACCAGGAAATGTGACCTCCGTGACTGGCTTGGGGGCACGTGAGGATTTGTCTGTGCGGGCGGTGGGCCCCTTTCCCACCCAAACGAGCGCTCCCTTTGGGCTGCCGTTGCCTGAAACTTCAGTGTTAAAAATATGCCCCACTGCAGGCATCTTCTTCCAAAGGGCAGCTCCCACATGAGGGGAGCACATAAAACCAGGACTATGTGAATAGTTTCAAACTATTGAAGAGGTCAGAGACTTTGCTTCTGTGACACCAGCTGAGAGGAGGGCTTAGGAGGAAGGGTGGTTTCAAAGCAGGGGAGTAATTTTGAAATGTGAAGGTAGGGACCATCCTGGCATGACACATTGGAAAGGGCCAGATGGCCCAGAGGGCCGGGGCATGAAGCATTCAAGGCAGAGTCCCTCCACTCCAGATATGGCTCCCACCGTCCGTGCTGGGCCTCCCTCCAAAGAAGCCAAACGCTGGGGGCGTGGCCTGCCCTCAACAGACCACCCCTCACTTCTAGACACTTACGTGTAAAATTCCTCTGCAGGGGAGGTGGAGTGGAGCGTCCAGGTGACGTTGCCCTCGGAGAAGTAGTTGGTGCAGTTGCCGGTGTTCCAGGAGTTCTCGCAGCTGGTCCAGGGCAGCCGGTTGGTGAAGGAGGAGATGAGGTAGTAGAGCGCCCAGGCCATGATGGTGTTGTAGTAGGAGGCGATGTAAAAGGCAATGATGCAGATGGCGTACCCGATCCCTGGGACAGAGGGCGAGGGGGGCCGAGAGTGAATGGCAGCCCTACGGAGAAAGACTGACGCAGCCTTGGAGGGTGCTGCCACAGGGGGAGGGGTAGGCGGGTGCCACTCACTTCATTCCCCAAAGACTCCGGGCGGCCGCAGGAAGGTGGCAACGGCAACGTGGTAACCTTTGCCAGGTTACGTGTTTCAGAAAATGTGTGTGTGCCATTAATGCTTTACATTTTTTTCTATTTCGTTTAAATTGCCCTTTATTCTGTTTCCTGTTAACATTCTTACACCACTTGAACAGTCAAAAACTTAATTACTGTACTCAAGTCATCTCCCAGGGTCAACGAAGGCCTGACTGATTCCAGAAGGTCCCCAGCTTCCTGCTCCCACACCCTGGATGGAAATCACCACTTCCCAGAAAAACCCACCCGTCTACCCACCCAGTCAGGCCTTTCAGTTACCTTTGAAAATCGGGCAGATTTTCCTCCATATGGAAATGCATCCGTTTCGGTGGTACTGGCCCAGCGCGAGCTCCATATAGAAGAGCGGGATCCCCCCGAAAATGGTCATGATGGTGTAGGGGAGGAGGAATGCCCCTGGGGCAGATGAAAGACAATTTTACTCCCGGCCAGCATCTGTTCCAAGGCCCCACCAATCCCTGCACACCAGGAGCCATGCCGAGAGTCACAGAGCCACCTGACACCGGAGTACCACGGAGCCACCTTATGCCATGTGACCTCACACTGTGCTCCCCTAGCAGTGGTGCTTGCCAGAAGTAGTAGGAGGCACAGCTCCACAGCGGAAGTGAGGTTTGGAGGAGGCAGAGAGGAACCTGAAAGAAAGCTGGGTGTGGGAGTCCGCAGAGCAGGCACTGGGACCAGTTCCACTTCTAACTGCCTGGCGGACCTGTGACCACATCCCTTTTCTGAGTATTTCCTCCCCTGTGAAATCATGAAGTTGAGGAGAGCCACCCCTCATAATCACTGGTGGGTTTAAAAACACCCACCCAGCCAGCCTTCCTAAAGCAGAAGCTCCAGGTAGAGGTATAATAGAAAAAAAATTAGGCTCTCCAGGTGATTCTGATGCAACCAGTACATGGACCAGCGTTTGGGACCAACCGCCCATGACAACCTGCAGAACAGCTGTGATAATCTACGAGTCACTGAATTAGTATCTCTGTCCATCAGTATTATCCCTGACTCCAGACACTTGATTATTGATATTTAGCTACTTCCCATAATTCCACCAAGCCAGAAGGCTCCCTCCTGAGTCACTTTTGCAGGCGTGGCTGAACAGAGTGCTTTGTCACAGACCGAGAGAGCGCAGAGCTCCTGTATCTCTGGCAATGCTGGTGTCGCCTGGCTCTTGAGGCTGAAGCCACGTTAAGCATCGGTCACCTGCAGCCTAAGTTTTAGCCCAAAGAAGCAGTTGGCTTGATTTTTCCCAGACAAACTTTCCTTCCCATGAAGTGCTTTGAACCTAGGAATCTGAAGTTAGTGCAGCTCAGAAAGGCCCCACCTATCTTACAATCACTGTGGAGAAATCTGGATTGAGAATAAGAGCCACGATGTATTGTCACGGGGGCATTTGTCCAAAGGGTTTGCTTGCCTGGTTTCACCGTAGGGAATGAGTACAGGGGCAATGGCACAGGTGACCCAGTCCCTTAAGTAATGCTCAGGCTAGAGGTGAGTCCTCTCACATTGGAGAGAAGGGGATCCCAACCTCCACTCCTCCCAGGCAGGGAGCACTGGGCTCCCCACTTCCTGTCCTGGGAACAAGAATGGTCTTTGCGGCTGCATATGGACAGTGGCCGGGTAGCTCAATTGGTTGGAGCATTGTCCAAACACACCAAGGTTGCAGGTTCTGTCCTTGGTCAGAGTACATACAAGAATCATCCAATGAATGCACAATTAAGTGGAACAACAAATCAGTGTTTCTCTCTCTCCCTTTCTCTCTCTCTAAAATCAGTACATAAAAAAAAAAAAAAAAAGACTCTGGACCTGAGTTAAAACACAGGTCTAAAGGCCAGGAAGGTCTGGACCCTAGAGCTACCTCGCAATTCTTCCTTCCACAAATCTACCCTCTCTGACTCCTGTGAACAGAACCTTCCAGCAGGAGTGAAAAGCTTAGCCCAGGGCTGTGGTCATCCCCACATCTCGCTGGCTGGAGAGTGGAGCTTGGATAGTGCAGGGGTGAGAAAGGAGCTCCTCAACAAATGGAGCACGGAAGATGTTGAAAATCTGCTAAGGCCACATTTGGGAGATTTTCCCAGGTTTGGGACAATCTGCTGAGGCCAGGTCATCCAGCTTCATAGCCCAGAGGGCCTCAGACAAGCAGACTTCAAGGGTTGGCTTACTGGAGATTTTTTTCATTTCGGTAAGCTTCTAAGTCTAAGCAATCCTGTTCCCAAACTCTTATCAGTTAAACAAGATAGAAAAGATATGACTTATCCCCTAGCCTCCTAAGAGGCTCTACGGACCACCCCCAGGTCAGAGCCCCTGCTCGTGGCCCACAATACTGACCCCCTCCATTCTGGTAGCATATGTAGGGAAAGCGCCAGACGTTGCCCAGGTCCACAGCATAGCCAATGACCGACAAGAGGAAATCCATCTTCTTGCTCCAGGTCTCCCGTTCCCCTTGGTGAACCTCAGCCACTAGGGTGGTGGTGGCAGCCGGGATGGAGTGCTGAGTGTCTTCTCCTGCACTGGGGCTCGGAACTGCTGAGTACCCATTGGAGATCTGGCTGGACTCCGCCTTATCCCCAGGGGCGGGGACACCCTTCTGTAGAACTCCATTTTCCTGACAGTCTTCTCCATCCTTACACACTGACAGCTCATTCTGTGAATTTAAAGGTGTGGTCTCCATCCTGCTGTCTAGTAGATGGTACTGATGCCCATCTGCCAAGGGCCAGAACAAAATTCTTGGTGCACGATCTGTGGGATCCTCAGAGATTTACATCAATGGGGTGGAGGGCTCTGTTGGAAAGGCATACAGAGAGAGAATTAAATTAGCATTTTTACTAGGTTTTGGTATTAACTCATTACACAGCTTTTTTTTTTTGCTTAATCCCTTCACCTTTTTCACCCAGACCCCCATTCACTCCCCACCCCCGACAGTTGTCAATCTGTTCTCTCTATGAGTCTGTTTCTATCTGGTTTGTTTCTTTTGTTTAGAGTCCACATATGAGAGGAATCATATATTTGTCTTTCTCTGACTGGCTTATTTCACTTAGCATAATGCTCTCTGGGTCCTTCCATGCTGTTGTAAAAGGTAAGATTTCTCTCTTTTTGACAGCCAAGTAGTATTCCACTGTGTAAATGTCCCATGGTTGTTTTATCCACTCATTTACTGATGGGCACTTGAGCTGCTTCCCAAACTTGGTGATTGTAAATACCCCTGCATGAACATAGTTGTGTATGGGGTGCATGTATTCTTTTGAATTAGTGTTTGCATTTCTTTGGATATATGTCAGAGGTGGAATGGCTGGGTCATAAGGCAGTTCCATTTTTAATTTTTAAAAAAGATTTTATTTATTTATTTTTAGACTGGGGAAGGGAGGGAGAACGAGAGGGAGAAAAACATTAATGTGTGATTGCCTCTTGAGCACTTCCCACTGGGGACTTGGCCCACAACCCAGGCATGTCTCCTGGCTGGGAATCGAACCAGTGACCCTCTGGTTTGCAGGCTGGCACTCAATCCACTGAGCTACACCAGCCAGAGTGTGGTTTTAATTTTCATTTCTCTAATGATTAGTGACATTGAGCTTTTTTTTATATGTCTATGGGCCATCTGTATATCCTCTTTGGAAAATTGTCTATTCAGGTCCTTTGCCCATTTTTTAAATTGGGTTGTGCTTTTTTTTTAGGTGTTGTGTTGTATAAGTTCTTTATAAATTTTGGATATTAACTCCTTATCAGATGTGTCCTTGGTGAATATGTTCTCCCATTCAGTGAGTTGTCTTTTAATTTTGTTGATGGTTTCCTTTGCTGTGCAAAAAATTTTTTGTTTGATACAATTCCATTTGCTTATTTTTTGTTTGTTTGTTTCCATTGCCTGAGGAGGTATGTCAGAAAAAAATATTGGTATGAGAAATGTTTGAGATTTTATTATCACCACATTTTCTTCTAGGATTTTCATGGTTTCGAGTCTAACATTTAAGTCTTTAATCCATTGTGAGTTTATTCTTATGTATGGTGTAAGAAGATGATCTAGTTTGCTTTTTTTTTTTTTTGCATGCTATCTGTCCAATTTTCTCTACACCATTTATTGAGTAGACTATCTTTACCACATTGTATGTTCTTGTCTCCTTTGTCAAATATTAACTGACCATAAAGGTGTGGATTTATTCCTGGGCTTTCTGTTCTGTTTCATTAATTCATATGTCTGTTTTTATGCTGGTACCATGCTGTTTTGATCACTATGACCTTGTAGTATAGTTTGATATCAGGGAGTGTGATATCTCCAACTTTGTATTTCTTTCTCAAGATTGTTGAGGCTATTTGGGATCTTCTGTGGTTCAATATAAATTTGGGGAATGTTTGTTCTAGTTTTGTGAGATATGCCATTGGTATTTTGATAAGAATTGTGTTGAATTCACAGATTGCTTTGGGGAGTATGGACATTTTAGTGATATTAATTCTTTCTATTCATAAACACAGTATATACTTCCACTTATTTGTATCTTCTCCAATTTCTTTCTTCAATGTTTTATAATTTTCTGAGTACAGATTTTTTACATCCTTGGCTAAATTTATTCCTAGATATTTTATTTTATTTTTGATGCAATTGTAAATGAAATTGTTTCCTTAGTTTCTCTTTCTGATAGTTAATTATTGGTGTATAAAATGCAATTGGTTTATGAATATTTATTTTGTATCCTGCTCCTTTACTGAATTCATTTATCAGTTGTAGTAGTTTTTGTGGAATTTTTAGGGTTCTCTAAATATCATGTCATCCACAAATAATGATAGTTTTACTTCTTTCTTTCCAATCTGAGTGCCATTTATTTCCTGTTCTTGCCTGATTGTTGTGGCTAGGATTTCTAGTACTATGTTGAATAAGAGTGCTAAAAATTGAAATTCCTGTCTTGTTCCCAATCTTAAGGGAATGTTTTTAGTTTTTGCCTATTGAATATGATGTTGCCTGTGGGTTTGTCATAGATGCCCTTTATTACACTGCTGTGTGTTTCCTCTGTTCCCACCTTGCTGAGAATTTTTATCATAAATGGGTGCTGGATTTTATTAAATGTTTTTTTCTGCACCTATTAATATGATTATTTCTATTTTTCATTCCGTTTATGTGATATATCACATTGATTGATTTGTAAATATTGCACCAACCTTGCATCCTCAGAATAAATCCCACTTGATCATTGCATATGATCTTTTTAATGTGTTTCTGGATCATGTTTGCTAATACTTTATTGAGAATTTTAGCATCTATATTCATCAGGGATATATTGGCCTATAATTTCCCTTTTTTTGTAGTGTCTTTACCTGTTTTTTTGATTTAGAATAATGCTGGCCTCATAAAATAAGCTTGGGAGTCTTCTATACTCTTGAATGTTTTGGAATAGTTTGAGAAGGATAGATGTTAATTCTGAGAATGTCTGGTAAGATTATCCTGTGAAGCTACCCAGTCCAGGACTTTTGTTTGTTGACAGGTTTTTGATTATTGCTTCAATTTCATTAATTGTAATCAGTCACTTGGATTTTCTGATTCTTCCTGATTAAAGTTTTAGAAGATTGTATGTTTCTAGGAATTTATTTATTTCTTCCAGACTGTCTAATTTGTTGGCATACAGTTGTTTGTAATGTTTTCTTACTTTGTATTTCTGTGGTGTCAGTTGTTACTTTCCTTCTTTCATTTCTGATTTTATTTATTTGGGTCCCCTTTATTCTTAATGAGCCTGGTTAAAGGTCTGTCAATCTTGCTTATCTTTTCAAAAAACCAGACTTTTGTTTCATTGATCTTTTGTATTGTTAGATTATTTTGTGTATTTCTTCTGTGATATCTATTATTATTTCCTTCTTTCTACTCACTTTGGGCTTTGTTCTTTTTTTTCAAGTTCTTTCAAGTGTAAAGTTAGATTGTTTATTTGAGCTTTTTCTCATTTTTTGAGGGGCCCATAATGCTATACATTTCCCTCTTAGGTCTGCATTCACTGTGTCCCATAGATTTAGGGTTGGTATGTTCTCATTTTCATTTATTTCAAGGTATCTTTTGACTTCTTCCTTGATCTCACTGTTAATCCACTCATTGCTTAGTAACATGTTATTTAGCCCCTATGTGTTTGTGTGTTTTTCAGTTTTTTTCTTTGACTGATTTCTAGTTTCATACCATTGTGGTCAGAGAGGATGCTAGATATGATTTCAATCTTCTTAAATTTAATGAGACTTGTTTTGTGTCTTATTATGGGGTTCACCTTAGAAAATGTTCCATATGAATTTTAAAAGAATGTATATTCTGATGCCTTGGAGTGAAATGCTCTGAAGATACCAATTAAATCTATCTGATCTAGTGTGTCATTTAAAGCTACTATTTCCTTGTTGATTTCCTGTCTGGAAGATCTATTCATTGATGTTAATGGGGTGTTAAAATACCCTACTGTGACTGTATTACAATTTCTCCCTTTACATCCATCAAGATTTGTTGTCCATAGTTAGGTGTTCCTATGTTGGGTGCATAAATGTTTATAAGGGTTACATTCTCTTATTGGATTGCTCACTTTATTATTATGTAGTATCCTTCTTTGTCTCTTACTATACCCTTTGTTTTAAAGCCTATTTTGTCTGATAAAATATTGCTATCCCAGCTTTTTTTTTTTTCATTCCATTTGCATGAAATATCTTTCCTCATCCCTTTACCCTTAGTCTGTGTGCATCTTTCATTCTGAGGTGGGTCTCTTGTGAACAGTAAATACAAAGGTCTTGTTTTCTTAACCATTCAGTTACTTTATGTCTTTTGATTGAAGCATTTAAGCCATTCATATTTAAAGTGATTATTGATAGGTACATATTTTACCATTTTATTCTTTTAACTATGTTATTCCTTTTTGTCTACTTCCTCTTCTTCTTAAAGAAGGCCCTTTAACATTTCTTGTAATACTGGTTTAGTGATAAGAAACTTCTTTAGCTTTTTTCTTGTCTGGGAAGCTCTTTATTTCTCCTTCAATTTTAAATGATGGCCTTGTTGGGTAAAGTAGTCTTGGTTGTAGGTCCTTGCTTTTCATCACTTTGAATATTTGTTGCCAATCCCTTGTGGTCTGAAATGTTTCTATTGAGAAGTCAGCTGTCAGTCTTATGGGAGCTCCCTTGTAGATAACTCACTATCTTTCTCTTGCTGCTTTTAAGATTCTCTCTTTGTCTTTAATCTTTGCCATTTTAATTATGATGTGTCTTGATGGGCCTCTTTGAGTTCATTGTGTTTGGGACTCTCTGCACTTCCTGGACTTGCTGTTTTTCCTTAACCAGGTTAGGGGAGTTTTCAGTCATTATTTATTTTTTAAAAAAATTGATTTGAGGGGACGGGAGAAGGAGGAGAGATAGAAAAAGAGAGAAATCAATTTGTTGTTCTACTTATTTATGCATTCATTGGTTGCTTCTTGTAAGTGCCCAAACTGGAGATCAAACTCACAACCTTGGCATATTGGGATAATGCTCTAACCAACTGACATACCCAACCAGGGCACTCATTATTTCCTGAAATAGGTTCTTAATCCCTTGCTCTTCTTCTTCCTCTGGTACCCCTATGATAAGATTGTTGTTACACTTCATGTTGTTCCAAAGGTCCCTTAAACTACCTAGAATCTTTTAAATTCTTTTTCCTTTGTGCTGTTCTGATTGGGTGTTGTCTGCTACCTTGTCTTCCAAATCACTGATTCAATTCTCTGCTTCATCCAACCTGTTTAGTCTTTTCAGTGTATTCTTCCTTTCAGATATTATATTCTTTTTTTAATGTTACTATATTTTATTTT